GACACGTTTGTATAAAGGGCGGTAACGTCGAAGGACTCCATCACGCACGCGCTGTTGGGCTGCGCAGTACGTAGACGATCCAGAAGCATCTGGGTATTCGTAAGATGGGCTGGAATGTGCTACAACAACTGATTTAATATTAGGGTTAAAAACCATGTTATCCTGTCCGTTGGCCCCTCTACGCAGCTAGTGATAGGTCTAACCTTAAATAGTGATGGATCGGTAGACGCAAGATCATCGCTGGATACTAACTTATGAGTTTTTATAAGTAAGTACGAGACGGGGCTTGTCGGTAAGTGAACTTCAGGTTGAGAGATAACTGATGGTTTTAAACCAGCAGCCCTTGCCATTTTGGCCCATTCGTGGTTCAATTTTCGGTATTTACTTTTAAATTTCTTCTTAGATGATGGGCGATAAAGTGAAGCATCTTCAAGATGCTTTTTCGTTATCTCCACATTTAATTGACGAGGTATTACGACAAACTCTCCACCCTTATCACTAACGGAAAGTCTTATGGTTTTCAACCTTATCAGGTCTCGTACCTCTCGCATACCACGTTTTTGCACTGGAGTGAGGTTGGAGCTGTATCTTTTCGCGCGATAGTGATTAAGGACTTTGAGAGTTTCATTCGCAAACATCCGAAAAATAACATCAACTTCATTATTGGGCTCTTGTCTAAAGAACGGCTGAGGAAATGGTGCTATTGGTAGGGTCCCCACTTGTGTTGTTCGCACCTATTTTGCGCTTCATCTCTAGCTTTTTTGCAGAGTCTATCTTGAAGTTCATGTAAATTACATGCGACCCTACGCAAGTTTATCTTAGAAATGGGTTCAGATGGTGAGAAACTCGGCCCCAATTCTAATAACGATCGCGCGCCGTCAGGGAGAGTTATGCCTCTTAACACGGTTAGCCTTGTATTTTCTGCACATTACCTATCCTATTGTGATCTGTTTGATGTTCCTCAGCGATACTTTTTGCAGAGTATATCAAGTTCACCCGAGAAAAGCCGAAAGAAAAATGGCTTCCATTTTTGAACGTACAAATTCACCTATTAGAAAATGGCTACATTACAAAGTGGTACCGAAAGCCAAGTAGTAAAAACATCTTGGTTCATTACCTCTTCTCTCACCCCTCTCATACGAAAAGGGCGCTTATAAGAAACATGTTTCGAACAGCAACCAACGTGTGCACGGAAAGAGAGCAGAGAGAGGAGTCCCGGAACTTGGCACGGCAAATAGCCATTTCTAATGGGTACGAAACTGTAGCTCAGGATAGGTGTAGAGGAAATCCTAGGCCTCCAAACGACAACTCTAGCGATAGAAGGGTCCCGTTTATCCTACACTTCATCTCAAGTGATATAAGTACAGCAATAAAACGCTGCTCAAGAGGGCGGGTTTAGAGAATTCGGTAAGCGTAGGTTGAAATACCACCGAGTAATCTTAAGCGCCAGCTAGTTTGCTTATGTGACCGTCTATGGGCAACTCAAAATTGCATAATTTGCCCCAGTGGTAGAGACGGTGATTGCATGAGCTCGGGTATAATTTATCTGATTTACTGTAAGGCGTGCGGTGACGAATACATTGGCGAAACGGGCAGACCCCTCTGTGTCCGCATAAAAGAACACCTAGCCGGCAAACATAGACCAAATACCCCGCTAGGCACGCATAGGACCCAGAGACATAACGGGGAGGACTTTGAAGTATGTGTCACGATCCTCGCACGCGAATCAAGAACACAGGCGCGAAAAACTCTCGAGGCATTCTGGATTAATTCCAGAAATCCGAAAATGAGCCGCAGGGAAGAATACCTCATTATCACGCGCGATATAGGGCAGTATATAAGATTGCTATTCTGATGGGAGGGGCACATTATACTTCCATGCGATTTCTGTGCGGTTGGTCTGTACGTTTGTCATACGTAGGGGAAACCTCATAGAAAGCGGTGAGTGTGCAAAGCTGTGTTCAATGTGATTGAAATCTTGGTTTAGAGTTTCTTTGTTTGGTTATGGAGGCGTCTGGCCGAGTAGATTGCAATCAACTTGACCTTTCCAGGCTCTGAGGAAGGCGAAAACCGCCGAAACGTCAGCTTATTCGTAAATAAAGAATAACAACACCTCGCGTTTGCTCAACAAAAATGCGAAGAATTATCTCAGCATCGCTGTGGTTGTATTTCATAAACAATCTATTCCGTTTTAAGCCCTTAAGTGAACTGAAGACTACTTTTTATGAACAGGAATCAATTTTGTACTGGTCAGCAACCTTAACTTTCCAACTCATTTCACTACTCATTTTGACCCATTCAATACTTGCATAGTAAATTTCCCACCCGAAAATTCAACATTTGGACCAATTTGTTCGCAATTCCACAACATCCACGAGGACTACGATAGACTGAGTGCGACGGACGATGAGAATGTCACGTCGCGGGAATTCCTTTATGAGGGAATAGGTAGAGAAATCTGCAACGATAATGGGACGACTTTCGATCCTTTCGACACCTCTAGAATTATAGATTTATTTCTCTAATGGGCGGAAAATGTGCGGACATCAAGCAGCACACATTAGGGCTCTTTTGTCATATCTTTTCTCAAAACTCAAAACGCTGGACAAGAGAAAACGCGATGTGCAGGTATTAGTGAAGAAGCTTCTGTTCAAAAAAATACCACCTTAATGAGAGAAAATAATATATTATAAAACGCTCTCTGATTAATATCGAGCACCTGAAGTGTAGCGATGTATAAGCAAAGAACCGAAAGCATAAGCTTTTTGATTTCGAAGGAAGTTCAAATCGTAACACTCGCACATGGAATTGACACACAATTACGCAAATCGGATCTCCTACATTGATCTTTTCTTCAAATTTATGACGGTAACAGGTGAGTAATGCTTGTCGGAGTATAGAGAGGAGATTCTGATAATATATTTATTTTATATGATTGGAGTGGGAAGCCTTCCAAAGGTTTACCTGGTCATCGTGGCTGGGAGGTGTTCCTGGGTATCGGACTGCGCTATACAGCTGGGGGATTCATCTCCTGGCAGGGTCTCCCAAGCTGAGAAGGAGACCGGCGTTTCCATCAGGAAGCCTAGCTAAGAGTAAATCAATACCAGGATCCATCACCGTCCTGGTATTAAAGTCGCATGGGTGTAAATCTCCCTCTGATCCACAAGGGCTGCGACTACCGGTGGCTGTGAAGACCTGGGGCAGACTTTGGCCAGGCTGACCTCGGGATTCCAAGAAATAGCTTAACCAGTAAATCTCCAAAAAAGTGGTGATTATGCTGAGGTCAGCACAACTATTGAATATGGGCCGTTCAAATATCAAATAAGTAAAGTAAGTCAGAGTGATAATAATCTCGTTCACTATGCGGACAGCCCAACCCTCCCGGGATCTTTAAAAATCCGTACGCGCGCCGCTGAACCCACTAAGCCACTTATCCTATAGGGTTCGGAAAACTGGTACTAGACTAGACATGCCTGAGACGAGTCTATAACCTACGTTTCAATACCCTAGCATGCATTCTCTGGATTCCAAGAAGAATCGGTCTCGGCCAGCATTAAACGACATTCGTGAAGAAGACGAAAAAATTCGTCAAGCAGCAGCCGAAACCAAGCCGAGGCAAAAAAAAGTTCGAAATCCGTCATAAGTGGTAGATGCGAGGAAACAATTCGAATTTAGTTAGTGCTAAGATTCGCATATTGTTACATATGTGATGTCGGGTTATGTGATAAATAAACCTAAAAGGGTAGAGCTCTCGGCGTTGAGCAATCCCTGAAAGGTGCGGCATGCATTAGTCTCCATTAAGTATCGTTTGGAGGTGATTGAATGCACATCTGCCCTTTAGAATAACTCACGGTAGCATCCTAATGTATCGAGCCAGTGCTGCTATTTTCCAAGACAATTCTGGTTCAAATTTACCGACCCACAGTGATGGAAGGCTTGGTGGGCCATGGGCGCGAGGAGCGATTCCACGTGTGCTGCAGAGCGCCTCCGACTACTGCGCCACACGCGCCCTCAATGAGCGATAAGATTAAATTCTTCTTCGTCATAGATGGTTTTACTAAAAGAAATCTAGCAGCACTTTAATTATGGTTTGTGACTATACGAAGAGAGTACTCTCCACTTGCCTTTTCTGTCTCACATACTAACTATGCTAATGTGGCAAGTCTCACAACTCCAAATGCGAAAAATTGGCACTAGACTCGTCTCAGGTCAGCGCCTTCTCTCAAGTCGAAGGAAGCTGGAGATTCCTGTGATGACGATCTCTGAACGCTTCTCAGTTCCCACGCTCAACCGTATAGTAGTTGACTAGAATATATTTCACCGTAATTCCATCACAAAAATTATTCCTCGTTGCTTGTCAAGGTTGATGCCAACTTTTATAGAATGTTGTATTCACCAATGGTCTACAAAAAGGCTGAACTATCCATGTTTAATCCTCTGTCTGCGATATGGTAGCATTCCGATAACGAGCAACGAACTTTTTTGCGTAGATCCTCTTTTGATATCGTATGCCGTTCCGTAACCACCTATAGAGTACTGACGATCACCGCATTCATCCATTTCGTCACGGAACCCTTTGGTTTGGGCAATCTGGTACCCACCAATATGCTGGATGCATTAATTTCATCGTATCAGGAACTCAGGTCGCTAGACGTCCCTCCCCTAACATAATCTCATTTCTACTGAGAAACATGCTGAAAAATCTAAGAACAACGCGGGAAATAGATAACTCTGAAGGCTCAATTGCTGGGCATACCCTCACTACCTCCAGTGGTTGGCTTAAGTTTGAAGTCTGTACACTTCTTCGGCCAAAAGGATGGTGTACGACAACATTCTAAGATATTACTGAGTAACAATGTATGCATCTTGCCTAAGATGACGACGGAAGAAGCTACCGAAAGTACGGGCAGAACTACAGAAGTTCCTCTCACTTTATAGCTACTGCCACACTGCATCATTTCAACTAAGAATTATCAGAACCTTGGAAGTGGCATTCATCGTCAAAATTTCAGCACACTTCGGTTGTCGTTTGAGAAAAAATTTTCAACCTTTATTGTTCTCTAGCACTAGAAACATTCTACAACATACGAAAAAATCGTATAGACGAGCTATGCTACTTATCACTACTGGTTTTCTAATATCCAACACATATTACACCACACACAAAACATCGTGCTATAAACACGTGACATAAATAAATAGAAATAAAAATACAAACGAAAACTGAAGTCTAAGCAAAACGCCATAACCCGGAAACAAAGACGGTACGACACTGGATAATTACGCTTAAGATCTTAACTTAGACATCATCATAAGAACAATATGCTTACAGTCAGCAACCTGGACCTCAAGCGAGCCAAGAAGAGTTTTCAACTCAATATTACGTCGTTCCAGCATCTCTTTTTCGTTTCGCATTTCTCGTTGTTTCTCAGCACGTTTCTGGCGAGATCGTTTTGATGCGATGTTGTTCTTATCACGTTTCTTCCGATAATCACTCAATGCATCTGGAGACAACGAACTCGGGGAATAAGGAGAATAACGGGTCGTCGTCGTAACAGCGCCTGGAATTCAAAGTGAATCTCAGGTCTTATTTTTAAAAATACTGGCCGCAGAATATTCTCTATAGCAATTAGGCATAAACTTTAGAGCGCGTATCACTATATGAGTTCAGTATTATTATTCACCTAGATAATTGTGGTAGAGATTGCTCGGTGCCCGGAAGGACGACAGGTTCAGTTTATTCTGAGCGGATAGAATTGAACCAGTAACCGTGTATGTATTACAAAGCACCTTTAACCACTACGCTACAATAGCTCCTCTCTTTGTCTATAGCGTCGATGAGAGTAATTACAACGAACTGACACACAGGTCATAAATTTAAAGATTCCACAAAATATTATTCAATTGCAGAACAGAAGTTCTACAGCCACGGTCCAAGCCTACCATGAAAGTATTTGCAACCTAACTACGAAATAACTATCCATTTATACGGTGGCATACCAACTCACCAGAAGAATAACTAGATCGTCGAGAAGTCTGTTGAACGAGAGAACCATTGGAGCTCTGGCAGAGATTCGGGAAGAATTCTTCAACCGCACACTTGTCAACTGCTGCCGACTGCTCAGTAGAAGACTGTTGAGTAGGAGCAGATGACCTTGGCTGATGATGAGGCAGATTAGTACTGATGCAAGACGGGCTGTGCAGATACGAGTCCAGTGTACTGATATCACAGTCAAACGCAGTGTCTATATCGTTAAGATCAACATCATAATCGTTTCCTGGAAAGTAGTCGGCGTAAATATCGCTCGAATATGGAGGCGTTTCACAAGTGAAAATATCGGGCTGAGGAAAGTGTGCAACGTCAAGTCGTAGAAAGGAATCCGAGAAGCAACTCATTGTCGCGAAATCTGAAACATGTTCGTGATACTAGCGTCTCCAACGTTAAATCATACTAATTCTAAAATTTTACATCTACGTTTAGGTTATTTTGTAGCACGAACTACATCAATGAAGTGAACTGATACCTTCCCTGGACTACTATGTGCTACTCAAGTGCTGAAATGGATTCTATGCAAAACAGAAGCATTAGAACCAAACTAGAAAGGGTGACAGAAATTCTGCCCAGATTTTTAGTGAATATCTATCGGTTTTAGCAGCAGTTTCACTCAAAAAGACGCTAAAGAGTTCCAATTTATAATCCCTCATTTATATCGAGAATGAACTAAGAAATACCGTTTTCCATCGACGTGCGACTTGATGAACGACTCATATTCGGTGTAGTCATAACTAACTCGACACTTGTCTGATCTATCCACTTTTCTTCTGGACAGATGTAGCTAAAACTGAATGCTCTAAATGTCCCCCAATTCGCTTAGAAAAACGATATATGAGCTGCTTACCTTTGATGCATATCGTAAGGAAGGCTCATCGGTTCTATCGGCAAATTTACGATTTGCGCACGAGTTCGGCCTACGGGTTCTTGCCCAAGAAGACCCTCGGGAAGGGCAATGAGTGTATCCTTTTCGCAGGATGCCATCGAAGGCGGTGAGACCGTACGTAGTAGAGACCATCTTGAACATTTTGACGAGTAGTAGTAAAAATCTTCGGTTCCTTTAACGGACAAAACGCGGGCTTTTAGGTATGTGAAGACCAGTACCTGAAAGAAATCGATCACTCACTCCACTGTCCCGCTACTCAGGTGAGCATTACACAATACCTAATTGTATCTGATTTCAACAACCTACCAACAACATAAGATTCTAATGGATGTGCAGCAAAAATTAAAAGAAAAAGAAGGCCGAGTCTCTATTTTGGGTTTGTGTGGGAAAAAAACTGACCACTTGGTGAAAACCTAGTGGCAGAGGCAGTAACGCCGAAGAGATTTCTTCTTCTTCTGCTACCTGGGACCAATACCCGGTCCCAACAACTGAAAAACATAGAAAAATAAGAGTTGAAGAAACTGTAGAAGAAGAAGCTGTAGTGATATAAGATATAAGAGCGAAGGAAAGGCAGCTGAATCCTGAGGATAGGAGAAATGAAAGCAAAATAGCTACATATAGAAAAACCGTCGACAGACATAAAACAGTAACTACAATGATGCTGAGACATTTGCAAAACTGCGGACCGCATTCGTCTGTAACGGGGATTGAACCTCGCTAATACGCTTTCTGGGGACTATCGTGTACACCACCACACCAGTTTCGCTTTTCTCTCAGCCGTGATATAAAATAGTAAGTTAAGAAACGGTAAGCTTAGAATCGAGAAGAAAACCTAACTGTTTAGTTTTCTATTCAAATGCTAGCTAAACCCAAAAAATCATCCGTCGTCATGGAAACCCTACGATGTTCCACGAAACAATCCGCAAGGGTATGTGCCGCCAATGAATCATCTGTGCCAGCGTGCACTTAAAGGCGAAATCGATTCGCATTGTTGGGTCATAAACCTTTACAATACTTATAAAGTTCTAGTTCTGATCTAAACGTGTTATCTAGAAAAGCTTAAAAATGCAAGGAAGACTACTAATTGCTCTCGTACATCTCTTCGGTATGTTTTTCAGGGGTGTGCAGCCTTCTAGGGTTTACTTAAGCAAATTGCGTTGATTTAAAGATCTGGAACAAGAATTCTGATGTGGAGATGAGGAAAAACAATCACACAGAGATAACTGACGCACCTCATTACGATCCGCTAACATGAAGAATGGTATTAGGCGTATAAGAATCAACACAACCGCAGCAACACATTTTGTGATAATCACAGCATGTTAAGACACCTAGCTTCCATGCGTGCATTGAATCTAATGCATATAGGAAGCTTTTATGGTGACAAAAGACAAATCGCAGGACACCACCTCAGCACTTAAGTGCCACCAATGCAAAAGAACGACGAGTGACGCCAAGCCGACGCGGACCGTCCACACCGCATCGCTCCGCCCCTATTGCACAACGTTATGCAATGGTATCGCGAGAAAGCGCTGGAAACGAGGAGAATTGAGGAAGTCCGATAAGGAACGTAACGTTGTTAAGCAGAGGTCGTAAGAATTAAGCGAAGAGATTCTTGAGAAGGGCTTATCATGACGGGATGAATTCAAATAGGGCAAAAACGCAACTGCAAACTCGTTGCTCGCGAAAAACTCGATGACTAATTCAGTATCGTTTGATTCGTAGGCAAATAAAAACGCGGGAAGGTAGTCACGAATAGAACTCCCAATGAACCGCTCGCGGTAGCCCATCGATATGTCGAGCCAATGCTACTTGTTGAGGCAGTGCTACTATGTGTCTACCCATACAGATCTAGTACAAATTTGCAGACCGCGGAGGGATGTAAGGGTTGGTGAGCTCCACCTGTACCACCCGTAGTGCCGTTGTTCGTCGAGTGTCTCGAGCGGACACCAGTAAATCTTTCATTTTTCCCTGTCGCGTGCAAGAGTAGCCCAGTGGGTTCTGCTCACTCTAGGAACTCGTTGAACATCATATCTTTCTTCTAGGCGTATCGTTAAGGACTCTGGTCTTTGTGAAGCTTTGGTGAGCTTGGATAGAGAAATATCGACATGTATTGCTTGCCATCGTGCTGAACTTTTCTTGAGAAACACACGATCATTGTGTTTCCTTAGGCTTCTAACATGACCGTCGTTTCTTCTTAGCTCCGATTCCTTTTTTATCAAGAATATCTCATCTGCCTCGAAATACTGCTACTAGTGATACATAACCACGAGAATGCTAAGATAAAACAAAACTCAGTACCTCAGTTGGGCTTCTAATCCACTATTAGCTTTTCCTGTGGCCTAGGTAATGTCTACCACATCAACCAAGCTCCTTGCTTTCCCTTTCTCTCAGCCGGTTTTTTAGGACCTCGGTTGGTGTAGTGGATATCACCTGAGTCAAATGAAAAAGTAATCGCCGACTCGAAGCCCTCCTGAGGTTTCGAGTTTTGCTTATATTCCAATATCCTTGTGGTTGTATTTTCAGTATACTGCTATGGAGAAGGAATACGCAATAAATGAAAGTTAAACATAAAGGTAGACCGGTATCAGTTTTCGGCAGAATACTAGCAAATATCAGCAATAATGACGAAGACCATCTAAGATTATTTGGATATCAACCGTGGTTTCTAACTCCCAACTTCAAATGCATATTCTCCAGCTTCTACCAAACTTTACCGACAGAACAATTCCACTTATTCCACTATTGTAACACCCTAAACTTCTTTCCTTGTTTTGCTTTTTTTTACGTCTTTTTGGCAATTATAGTGATTGGAAAGGGAGCAGCAATGAATAATTGGTTCAGCTGAAAAATAACTGAGTCTCATTTTTGATTAACTCCTTGTCGATGGTGAACAGAAACACATCGAAAATGCTGAGGACAGACGTCAGGTGGAGGATGGTATTAGGCGACCCAAACAACATATTTTCGTCTTTTCTAGCACTTCCCATGTGTTGCTAAAGCAAGTGCATGCCTTTACGTCCATACTGTTAAAGCACATTTAAGCTCGTAATCCACTCCATCTTCATGTGCACAGGCTAGTTCGTACGGCAGTGATTCTCCCCTTTCTGCCTGCTAGCTGAGACTTTTAACGATACCGTAGATTGAACTCAAACTTGGGTACTTGAACCTTTACATGAGCAACAACAACACAGCAGTTACAATGCAACTACAGCAGTAATTGTCCACAGAATAAGATTTATATTAATGTGAGCACTAAGCAGAAGTAAAATAAGTAGGGAGATGAATTTTCAACGTGAGAACTGTGTACGAGAATCATGTCGTATTGTGAGAACGAGAGAGACATATCATACAGACACTGGTTCCGCGAAACCAGAGTTCAATAATTGGAGTTCACTACATGAGCAAGAGATAAAAGCATTGCTAAGTGTTCAGACGAATGATGCCAAGCTACTTATGCTTGGAATATGGAGAAACAGTTACAAGATCGCTGCCGCATCCCATCTTGCTATGCCTAGCAAGTACAGCTAGGAGTACGATTTTAGGACGAAAGGAGCAAGTGAAGTGGTTTCATAATACATTAGCTGACAAAGGTTTTACACGAAGCAGTGTACAAATTAACTCGGAAAATGTGTGCTGACGTAAGAAGTCGAGAGTATTTTCTACGATGTAGAGGACAACCTTCGTACTTTCCATGGTGCCTTTTATCAGTGTTGAACACAATTCCATTTCAGCGAATTTCATCCGGCGCCCATTAGTGTTCTCAGAATTCTCTTCCTTTGACAATCTGTGCGTTTTCGTTTCATCTGCAACACCAGAACATCATTAAAGAATAAAAATTATCGTTGTATAGATATCCTTCTAATGAAATGCAAAACACCTATGGATTTTTAAGAAATATCTCTCAACAAGACGATGATATTGACCGTAGTTTAAGCAAAAATCGGCATATCCACTGAAAGCATTACAGAACGATTGTCTTTTTCAATGAATCACTTTTGAACTGCTTCCCTCTTCTTTACTATCAGCTGGAAGGCTCAAAACTGGTATTTAGCTCCTATGCTCATATGAAGTCTTACCTTCACTAACACATGGTGATGCTAATGCTAGCTTACACCACCTGAGAAAACCGCCGTTCCGCTAGGATTTCGCTAAACTCGCATTACCATGTGTAGAAATAAGAATAAAGAAAGTTGAATAAAGAGAGCAGTGTTTGACTTCACAGAAGGTAGCGAAGCACCTCACAAGTATCGCGAGGCGAACGCAGGAATATGTCCATGAGACTGAATTTCATAACGGTCACTCAAATTTCGTAGGAGCCGGTATACCAGCGCACCATCCGGATGTGAATTCATCCCCTAAAGTAAGAAATAACCGTAACTACAACTTCATATGAACAATTTCAGTCTCACCAGTTCATATTTCAATCGGCGAAGAAGGCTTGTTAATTGCTGCCTTCTCGTTTCAGATATTAAACTGCATAACGATGGATGAAGAGACGAATCAAGCATTATCATTACCACACATCTACATTTACTATTCTGTAAAACAACAATGTACTTCGAGATATTAATGTTCCTACGAACTTTCATTAATAAGCTGACATGGTAAACAATATAGGAGCTTCGCCTCTTTAGTGCCGTTTTCATCTCACCCTTTGAGGACTGAGATAATCCCTGTACCATTCACATAGGAAGAGAAACAGAAAAAAACTGCCAATTAAGTGATACTCGCTCCGGAATTAATGCGCCATACAATTCGGACTATGAAGTTAGCACTGATCCAAATACTTGGACACTTGGATGGCCTACCCTCACTGGTTGTAAGGATCCCAGCATAATTTCCATTGTTTCGGAGTTTTGCTGGTTTAGTCATTGTGGTTACCTGCAGTCCCAAGGTCAGCTAGGTCAAAATCTGCCCCAGGTCGTCACCACGACAGACAGTCGCCGCCCTTGTGGAACTAATCAAAATGGGACCATATAACCTTTTCTGAAAAACCGAGAAAGGAAATAGAGATCTATCATCATAATACCAATCCAACTCACATTTTCAAATAATTCCAGAGTGTCGTCAAGGACATCGATAACTACCACAAGATGGGCATCCACGAACTCTTCCATAGACATCTTGCCCTAAAACTTATTTCGACAATTGACAAATTCCATTTACAGTGGATAAACAGATAAAGCATAAAGCTGTCCGCGTTGATCAATCCCTCAGGGTTGTGTCATGTATTCGACATCATTAAGGATCTTTTAATAACTCAAAAGACCGAATTTCTATAAACCTCGGCATAGATAGTTGATATATTTATTTATATGATCTTATAAACTGGTCTTCTTTAGCTGATGCGAGGTTGGTATCGGTCATCGTTGTCGTTGTCGCTGTTGTTGTCGTTGCTGTTGTTCTTGGTCGATGGCTGACGTTAAAACAATTTCTCCTTCCTCAGAGCCTGGACTTATTTTATACAAAAATGCTTCAATTATTCGGTAGAAAAGACGCCAAAGTATTAATAAAGATCAAACTTTTAAATAGTCGCCACACTGATCAAAAAGGCTCCTCACCGTGCTGACACATGCGGGACTGAGCCACGCGTTCACGCGGGGTCGCGAGCAAGACACACGCAGAGGTCAAAATATCAATTTGAAATAGGGCGCCAGATCACGTGTGATAGTGAGGCCTTCGTTTTTCTGGTTCATCTTTGGATTTCTGAAATTTATCTAAAACGCCTCAAGAGTCTTGCGTTGATGTTTTCGAATCCTGCGCTAGGATCCGCACAGACAATTCAAAATGATCGGCATTATGCTTTGCGCCCTATTCGTATCTAGAGGAGTGTTTAGACGGACTTTAACTCCCCATCTAGACGTTCTTTTATGCGGACACAAAGCGGTCTACCCGTTTCCGCAATGTATTCCTCACCGCATGTGTGAAATTAGATCAAGTATATTATACCTGAACTCATGCCATCCACGTCTCTTCCGTTAGGACAGATCATACACTTTTTTGAGCTGCACAAACGATCACAGATACGGTTGCGAGCTAACTGATAGCGTAAGGTATTGGTTGGGATGCCAATAATCGTTACATAATTTTCAAGACCACTTTTTCTTAAGCAGTTTTTAATGGCGTGACTTACTTCATTTGATATGAATAGTAGCTTAAAGGGGATCTTACTTACGTCCGAAATATTATTTTGGGAAACTACCCTACGTTTTTGTCTAACCCGAGTGGCTTCTACTTCGTAGCCATTGGAAATGGTAATTTTTCGTGCCAGGTTTTGCGATTCCTTCCTTTCCTCTTCTCCTATACACACATTTTTAGCCGTACGGTACATATTTTTGATAAGTGCTTTTTTCATGTGTGAAGGAAGAGAGAAGAGGTAGGGAACTAGAAAGTTTTTACTACTTGGCTTGCGATACTATTTTGTTATATAGCCACTTTCTGAGAGCTTTATTTGGATGTTTAACAATGGAAGCCAGTTCTCGGTAAGTTTTTCTCGTGTAAATTTTATATACTCTGACTGTTGGTTTAACAATTCAAAGCACACACCCATTTGTTCTTGTGTGGAACAGACGTTGAAGTAGTCGCTTATGTATCGACAGTAGAGTAAAGGTCGGTGATCGAGAACTGGATTGATTGATCACTACCTCTCCTCTCATCCTTCACACATGAAAAAAGCACTTACCAAAAACGTGTACCGTGCAACTAAAAATGTGCGTACAGGAGGAGAGGAAAGGAAGGAATCGCAAAACCTGGCACGAAAAATAGCCATTTCCAATGGCTACGAAATAGAAGCCATTCGTGTTGGACAAAAACGTAGCGTAGTTTCCCACAATAATCTTTCGGACGTAAGTAAGATCCTTTTTAAGTTACCCTTCATACCAAATGAAGTAGGTCACGCCATTAAGAGATGCTTAAGAAAAAGTGGTCTTGAAAATTATGTAACGATTATTGACATCCCACCCAATACCTTATACCGTCAGTTAGTTCGAAACCGCCTCTATGATCGATTGTGCAGCTCAGAAAACTGTATGATCTGTCCTAACGGAAGAGACGTGGATGGCATGAGTTCGGGTATAATATACTTGATCTAATTTCACACATGCGGTGAGGAATACATTGCGGAAACGGGTAGACCGCTTTGTGTCCGCATAACATCTTGATGGGAAAGTTAAAATCCGTCAAAACACTCCTCTAGGTACGCATAGGGCACAAAAGCACAATAGCGATAATTTTGAACTGACTGTGCGGATCTAGAGCAGGAATCGAAAACATCAACGCACAAAACTTGAGGCGTTTCGGATAAATTTCAGAAATCCAAAGATGAACCAGAAAGACGAAGGCCTCACTATCACACGTGACCTGGCGCCCTATTTCATAATGATATTTTGATCCCTGGGTGTGCCTCGCTCGCGACCCACGCGAACAACACGTGGGGCAGTCCCACACGTAACATCACGGTGAGTAGCCTTTCTGCTCAGTATGGCGTGTATTTAAAAATTTGATCTTCATTAATACTTTAGCCTATTCTTTCCACCGAATAATTAATGTACTCTTATATAAAATACGTCCAGGCTCTTAGGATGGTGAAATCACCGAAACGTCAGCCATCGACCAAGAACACCAACAGCAACGACAACAACAGCGACAACGACAACGAAGACCTATACCAACCTCGCATCAGCTAAAGAAGATCAGTTTATAAGATCATATAAGTAAATATATCATTAAGTATCGTTGGATGTGAATGAATGCATATCTGACCTTCACAATGACTCGCGGTGGCCTACTGATGTATCGAGCCAGTGCTGCTGTCCTCCCAGACAGGTCTGGTACAAATTTGCCGACTGCGGAGAGGTGGAGGGCTTGGTAACCTCGGGGTATGGGGATCGATCGCATGTGTACTACGAGGCGATACAACAGATAATCATTGTGAGAGTGAACTGCGGTCCTACCCAGTAATTCATTAGAGATAAAGCTCTCTGTGTTAATCAATCCCTGAGGGACGCACCATGCGTTCGACTTCATGGTGACTACTGAATGCATATTTGTCCTGTACAAGGACTTGCGGAGGTATACCTATGTATGAAATCAGTGCTATTATTTCTCCAGACAAATCTGGTACCAATTTGCAGACGATGGAGAGATGAGGGCTTATTGAGCCCTGGATGTAGGATCGAGCGCAAGAACACGCGTGTAATGTAGGGCATCTCTAACCATTGCGTTGCACGCACCCAAGTAATTCACAGAATTAATTATTAATAAGAACTAAACCAACATTTCTAAAAGGAAATTTGCAAAGAAATAAAGGATGGCATGGCCATGGGAACTAACCAGATCGGAGGGTTCACATTCTGCTCTTTCAGATAGATGGATAAGAGTGGAACTGAACAAGGATAGACAACACGTTGGATCGACGTTCGAGAGCCTAATAATTTCGTGGCACAGTTGTAAATTGACGAGATCATCTAGACAGCAACTATTCATTAAACTTCTAGAGAATGGGAGACTGAAAAAAACATTAAATCTTATTACAAACCCGAAATTAGTGGAAATATACTTGAAAACTCGACCAGTGTGATATGTTTGGTTAGGCCGGAGGCATTGAGGATCTAGAATGATCACTTTTCACATCAAACACAAAGTTGGTTAGTTAAAGGTAACGGTCAGTTTTTAATATTGAAATCTGATCATTATCATCAATCATCTTGAATGATTGCATCTTGAAACTTCAATGGTTATGTGGGTCCCATCATAATTTCCATTTTTTCGGAGTTTTTCTGCTTTAGCCTATGTGGTTCCTCGGAGTCCCGAGGTCAATCTAGCCAAAGGCTGCTCCGAGTGGTCACAACCACAGGCAATCGCCACCTTTGTGAATAAGAGGGAGATTCACCACCATGCGACTAGTTTGATACCAGGACGGTGGTGGATCCTGGTATTGGTTTACCCTTAGCTGGGCTTCCTGATCAAAACACCGGACCCCTTCCAACTTGGGAGACCCTGTGGGCGGATGAATCCCCTATCGTACATCGCAGCCTTACAACACCTCCCTTCCACGATGGTAAACCGTTGGGAAGGTTCCCATACATATACTAAAAAAAATTTTTGTAAATCAAGCACTAAGAAGTGTAAAAATGAAGTTTCCAATGCTTATAGATTCCATAAAAACGAATACAGCTGGTAACTGATTCTTTCTTCAAAGAACAAATCTAGCATTTGTTACCAAAATCCCTACTAATGGAGGGTTTATTGGCGTAGATGAAAAAGAAACTTTCCACGATTATGCTATTTTAAGAGATGCGTCATATCGAAGATGTCAGAAATACCACTCTTTCCATTAGTAGACAACACTACACTTATGAACAAGAACTTGTTTCAGTGAAGATAAAGCATACATTTTCAATAGCTAAACTCGCTCTATACTGCAGACCACAACAAGTATTCCTATCCAAAACTAAGCGACAAATCGCAAAAATGAGAATCGAACGATCCACTGGTGTTTGTGAACGCAAATCGCAAACTGATAGGACGTCAAGGACACGACACAGCTAAAATAACAAGCATAGTTATTGAAAAAACCAGAATAATCACCGTTCTTCAAACTACTCCTAAGGTTTAACTAACCTGGAAAATCGCCAGTTCAATCCTGTCATTTTCACTTACTTCAGGAAGGTTTGCCTGCTCCAGGCGATCACGAATATAACTTTCAGCGCGCGGAAACACTTCTCCTCCCGGTACGACACTGCTTACTCGGCACTGCGCCGCATGACACAACCAGGCAAGGCACTGTGAAACGACAGAGTTTTCCGATTATAAAGGCCCTTTATCGAGCTCACATTGATGATGCATTTTAAAAAGTATTGTTGGGGATAAAAACTTATTTGGTTGGCGAAACGTACAACGTGAACAGCAGGGCAAATACCGTAGTGACTTGAGTTGATGTTCCTTCTCGCTTGAACAGTTTCTCTCATAGCATGTTCGAATACAGCTAAAACATCGAAAACTGGGTTAAAATATAAGTTCAAAAATCTTATAATGATAAGTTCACCTGCTAATGGGAAATTCTTAGAAGCCATTAAAACTAGATCCATGGAAGAAACTCGTCCCCTAGCTAAAACTTGATCCTCTGTGGACATCAGAGCATGGTCTATAGTGGAATGAAAGCAATAAGTAGCAATAAATCTTAGAGCTGCAAAACATTTAAGAAAAAAGTTATCTATACCTACGTTTTTCTTTTGAGCATAAAATAAACATCTTTTCCCGTTCCCAATTAACTGTGACCTTGTCCTTCGTTATGGTATTGAAAGCATCACTTTTTATAAAGCTTCTCGCCGATTTGATAACATCCTCAACTGGATCTTTGGTTGAGTACCCATTGACGCAATCGAAAGTGGATGCACTGAAAACGGAGAAGCAGAGAAGTAGAATGGGACAGTAGATCTCTCATGTAGATCTCTTTAGTGGTTACAGTGGCGCCCACGTAAGCTATTGTATATGTAAAATAATTTCTACAATTTTAGGACAAAAGTAAACAATGTAGTCACTTTTTATCTTACTGCCTATTCTTCTTTCTTCATGGCTGGAGATAGTATGAAATATAACTAGTATAAATATATAATATAACCACAATGATGTTGACTGACATGTTTACAAAACTCCAATCCGCAAGTGTCTTCGGTAGGGCTCGAATTCGCTATTATCCTTTCCAGGGCTAACACGTTAACCGCCAATGCGGGTTTTCGTTTCCTCTTTCAATGTTCAATTTCAACGAGTGTGAAACATAACCACAATGATGCCGATATGTTTGCAAAACTCCAGACCGCAAGTGTCTTGGGTAGAGCTCGAACTCGCTATTATCCTTTCCGGGGCTAACACGTTAACCACCAATGCGGGCGGGTCCTTCGTTTAGCCTTTCAATGTTCAACTTCAACGCCTTTCAAATAAAAGCAAACAATCTTTCTTTCCTACCGAACAATCGGCAAATATAAAGCTCACCTTGACTGATGGTCATCCATGAGTGCAGAATTAAGCCGGCAACTATCCTGGCTGTCATCCATTGACGAGGACAGATTCCCAAAATCCTCCTCACACATCAGTTCCTGGCACCGAGCAAGCTTCGCATTTTCTAGTATGTCGTCTGGATTAATCGGCATGTCTGTATCAATATCTAAACTCATTGGCGACAATGCATACTAATTTCAGCCCATTGGTCTCTTTCCACGCAAAAGGCTTTTCTACTACAATTTTTATATTCAACTAATAGCATACCCACCATATATAATGTACTAGGCTTCGTAAGAGAAGATTTGTATTCTACACCTTGCAATTTACATAAAAGGAACTGCTCCCAGAAACCACAACGATTTTGAGATATTCGGAGAACTCCGGACAGCAGGTGTCTGTGGTGGAAAACGAACGCGCTATTACCCTTTCTCAGGGCTAACGCGCTCACCACCACACCGTGCGAGTCTTTCGTTTCGCATTTCTCTCAGCTGGTTCTATCGATCTTTTGCCATCAGAAATAACACGTCACCGGGACTGACCTGCGGAGCACAATTCGTCAATGAACCCAGTTAAGCTGAGGCTAAGGTCAAAGTTACAATGTTAACTGCCACGACCGACTTTCTACTAACCTCGGCATTGATCAAGTGATTTTGTTCGTATTTTTGTTGAGCAAACGCGAGGTGGCACTTTTTCTGGGAGCACAATGTTAACTTTAACGCAAAAGTTAACATTGTGCTCCCAGAAAAATTTGTCTGCAAAACAATAGAGAGTGTCGCAGGTGAGTGGCCTACAAGGATATCTTTCAGTCGGAGGTCGTACAATAGATGAGGAGAGTATCAAGACTTTACTGCAGAAATACAAGTATTTCTTAGCATCCTGCTAAGACTAATTGCCCTATGTAGCCTCACAGTAGCACGAAGGCTACTGTTTATGGCAGTGATACTCGTGCAGAACAACGGACAACGCGAATTGGTGACAATGCGCTCCTCTATCGGCGAGAAATTACGCGTCTTTCTATGATACGTGCACCTAAAACTTGGCGTTATCGCAAATATGTTCAATAACCGTAAGAAACACGGAAATAAATGAGCACAACTAGTAATGTACAAGAAAATTTATCGGAAAGTAAACAGTGAACTGAAAAAAACAATGCAATAATCAGCATTAACTTCAAATGAAAAGAGAACACTGTAAATACTTGGTCATTTGGCCTTACTGGGAAGCGTAATGACCTGGTAGCACACAATCAGAGGCATAGTTCGTCCTCAAATCACAAAAGCAAAACGTACAGACACATTATGATCTTTAAACCAGACCTATCTCATAGGCCAAGAAAGAATATGTATGTATCTATAAACATATAGTTCAACCAACCAATCGACTCTACGGTGCCCAATGAAGTTAAAATTATGACGCATCCCTCAGGCATTGATTAAATCCCTTGTCTTATCCCCTTATCCTTCAGATATCACTTAGTCTTACCTCGAGGCTGCATTAGACAATGTCTAATTTCAGCTTGGCTGCACAAATGGCCAGTCTCATCCGTGATTCACACGCGTCCTAGTTGGCACATTTGTTTTGAGTGACACTGTAGTTTCTCACTAACTAGAAAACTTGAGGAATTGGGGGGCTTCATAGCATGTTCTACTATTTGGGTTCTAGCATGTTTTTATTTACTATCAATTACTATTCTCCATCATCCAAACGCATTACTGTCAGCTCTTGGAAGTTTGCCTTGTAAATTACGCCCAACACAGTTCGGTGCTTCTTTATTAATACGATAATTAAACATTCCATACGTTGATAACGACTCATTACGACCATTAGAAATGAAAACAATAACAAATTAACTATTAGAAGTTGAACTTCGCACGCCATACACGATGAACGATGCTGATCTTTATAGGACTATTCACATTTTTTCGAAAACTAAAGTGTTTGATGGAGGTAGAAGTGCAATGGTAGTGATCCCGTTCACTATACAGATGGCCCAAATACCCAAGCGCAAATTCGATCCCATTCCGGATCCACAAAGTCTCTCATCCCTCCCGTGTCAGGGAATGGTATCAAGCTTGTCTAGGATATGTGACTCCCTTTTATTCACGTGAAAACGCCCAAGCACGGCTATCTCGGAATTACAAAAAAGAAAGAAAATCGACGCTGCCAGCATTCACCGACATTGCTAGCTAAAACGAATAAATCGTTAAGCAGTAGCCGAAAACACCAAGAAAAATCTCGAAAACCTTCGTCGATTGTGGAACGAGGAAACGAATCGAATGTAAGAAGATCTGGGATCCACAGAGTGTGATATATGTGATGTCGTCTCTTTCAATAAAAAATAAAACATATTTCGAAACCGACTTTCCTTGAACCTCGGTATCACTAATCAATATGTATTCTTTCTTTGATGAGCTTACACGAGGTTGATAATGATATTTATTTTCGGCTAACGGATCTGAGGAAGACGAAGACGTTGAAACGTTAGTCGAAAATAAATATCATTATCAACCTCGTGTAAGCTCATCAAAGAAAGAATACATATTGACTAGTGATACCGAGGTTCAAGGAAAATCGGTTTCGAAATATTACTACGTTTTGTGCTAGCTGAAAAATAAAACGCTTTTATTCTTTATAAAAAAGCCTATTTATGTTTAAGGCAAGACATCATTATATCTGAAGACCCGCGTGGAACAACAGCACACCTCAACCACATCACTTCCTTTTTATTTCAATGGTACTATTTCAGGTACTAAACAGTTTTCAACACCAAGTGTTTTAAAAGCCAACAGGCACTTCAGAAAGCTTTATAGGCAACGAATAAATCCGAGACAACCTAGTATCTTGCAGAAAAAACCACATTTTGATTAAACTCGTATTTTATGAAAGAGATGAAAACTGCTGAATCTGAATACGAAGTGACCTTATCTGAGAAAGTTCACCAAGTGAGATGCTTTCATGGATTGAGAGATTTCCCCTTTCCTCTTTGACGCATTGTTAAACAACATGCACTTCTTGAGCAAAATGTACGTGAAAGGAAGACATTACAAATAGGGTCTTATAGACATACCACGGGCTATCTACTTTCCTATCGGTTTACTCGATATGAGGTAGGGTTTTAGCAAGATTTATAAATCGTGGGCTATGCAATATTTTACTCGACCCTTTATACTGAAAGCATTCAGTGATCAATACTACATAGATCCTAAGCGCAACAACCACATAACAAACCAGTCATGTAAAAGCAGGCAGAAAGCGCACTCAGCTTGCAACTACGGGCCATCTTCCTGCCGAATCACACTGACAACATCTCGATGCCGCTGTTCCGCTAAAGCGGCGATAGACGACAGAATGCGATCACTGGTAACCATACCTCGAGTATGCATAGCAAGCACATATTCACCAACTGTGACCAGCGAAACCTTCGCTTGACAATACTCAGTCACCTCTTCGGGAGGATCGACAAGTACCTGCAAACACGCAGTCAACGACAGTCTCCACTTTCATTAGAATCGTGGATTAAAAAGCTTAAAGGATAAGGCTTTCGGCGTTGATCAATTCCTGAGGAATGCACCATGCACTGGACTTCATTAAATATCGTTGGAGGTGATTAAACGCATATCTGGTCTTTACAATGACTCGTAGTGCCTTACCGATATATCGAGCCAGTGCTGCTACCCTTCCAGACAAATCCGGTACCAATTTGACGACCCTGGAGGGATGGAAGGCTTGGTGGGCCATGGGCACGGGGATCGATTCCACGTGAGTCGCAGTGGCGCCTCCAACCACTGCGCCACACGCGCCCTTTAACACGAATCGTGGATTAGTTAAGATTATTATGTTTTCGCTTGTAGCGCAGTGGTCGGAGGTACCCTGCAACACCCATGGGATCGATCTCCGCACCTTAGGCCACCATCCTTCCGGAGTCGGCAAATTGGTACCACATCTGTCTGGGAGGATGGCAGCACTGGCTCGATACATTTGTAGGCCACGTCGAGTCATTGTACAAGCCAGACATGCATCCAATCAACTCCAAACGATACTTAATGAAGTCGAATGCATAGCGCATCCCTCAGGGATTGATCAACACCGACAGCTTTATCCTTTATCCTTTTATTTATTATGTTTCCAAGCATTCTTTTCCTCGATCGAACAACAAAAGAACTTCGATAAACACCCACTTATCTAAATACTTCTTGAAATAAAATATAGAAAAAAATTGGACCTAGATTAAGACAAAGGCCAAAAAAGCTGTGTTGTATCTCAAAACTCTAGCAAACCTAATCGCTGCTTTGCAGATGAAACTGAGGAAAGAACAACAAAACACCAACCACATCTTGTTTTCCATTCTTAAAAACATAGATGGTGACTGCAACAGGGAATTTCTTCAGAACCAACGGTGTCGTCTGAAGGATGTATTTATGAATTTAACAAAGGAAAACTACAGATCATACACAAATATGCTGTTCTCTGAGCTCCTTTCCTGATTAGTTATGATAATTTCTTGGTAAGTAGATCATTTAAGAAATCGTGAACTTCACTTAGAACTAGGTTTATGCACAGATTACGCCCTGCTGCCCTAAGATTATGTACCCCTTCTTAAAATTTATCTCAAATTCAAATTTACAGACCTTGTCCAACTTCGAGAACTATTAATCTAATAAGCTACTTTCGAAAATTTAAACCGCTGGCTCAGCCTAATAATACTAATACTAATACTATTAATAGAATAGGATATGTAACTCGTATGAAATGCTGAGATATTTGCAAAACTCCGGACCACAGGTGTATGCAATGGAGAACGAACACGCGCTGTTGTCCTTACCGGGGAGCAGCGCGTGTTCGTTTTCCATTGCATACACCTGTGGTCCGGAGTTTTGCAAATATCTCAGCATTTCATACGAGTTATATTTCGCAACATAACCTGCCATTAAGAAGAAAAAGGCAGCAAATAAAAGAGTTAAGATAATAGAATATACGTTCTGAGGGAAACAGAGGATAACCCACATGCTTCGGACTACTCTCTATTATAAGAACTATCAAAATTTTATACCGAACAAGCCACAATTTTCTTAGCGACAGTGGTAAATTCAAGAACACCACTGCGTTTTAGTGGACCAAATCGTATTTCTTCAATCAGTTCGCTCTTAAGATGAGGAAATTCAATTAGGACAGTAAAAAAAACTTTGTATACTTAAGAAAATACGAATTCCATCACAGTGAATGAAACAAAGTTGCCACTTTTTCGTAATGGCCTATAGTTCTCCATTCTTATTCCAATGAAAAATATTAACTTTGGGTTAAGGTATCCTTATTTGAAGTCGAGAGTGTAAAATACTTTTGGGATCATATGGATTAAATCAAACCGTATTGTGGCTCCTCTCAATGGTTTACCACCCTATTGTGGCTAAGAGCTGGTCCTGGGTGTCCAGCTGTGATGTACAGCGGGGTGGGGGAGGGGTGGGGGGGAAGGGGTTCATCCTCCCAGCAGGGTCTCTCAAGCTGAGGAATCCAGAGTTTCCATCAGGAAGCCCAGCTAAGATTAAAGCAATACCAAGACGCACCACCACCCTGGTACCGAACTAATCCCATGGTAGCAAATCTCCCTCTAATCCACAAAAGCGGCGACTGCAGTAGTGGTGACGACTTGGGATAGGCTTTGTCCAGGTTAACCTCGGGACTCTAGGGAACCACAATGGCTAAACCAGCAAAGCGAAAAATGAAAATTATAATGGAGCCCGGATAACCAGTGATGACAGGCCATCCAAGTATCCAAGTGAGTATTGCCGCTAGCACTACTAAGACAGCAGAAACAGTAACTATAACGAAAAAAATCGATCAATAAAAAATTCCATTAGATTAAATAGGTTGTTGTACTAAAACAAATCGCACAGGAAGACGTATTTAAGAGAAAATTTCACAGAAATTCAAAAAGTTGATGTTTGGAAGGTTCATGTGAGGAAGTCTCCCCACATTCTAAAGCCATTTAACATTTGCACTAACATTTTCAATGACTCTTTCTCTTTACTTACAACCTTTGTTATTAACGTGAACGTCTTATTTGTTGACGTCATATCTTGCCACCATCGCTACATTATTCTTATAATCACTAGTGGAATCTCGAAAGCAAACATTTTGAAGATTACTAAACATTTGATTAAAGTAGAAACTCTTTTAACGACTCTTGATTGTGAAGACGTGATAATTCCTTGGCAACATCGCCTTGAAATTACAAAGAAAACAGCGCTCAATTAGCACTCAACTTAAAAAGGGCGATTGATCATTAAGCTGTAGCCCAATCCAAACACGAGTTTTAACAACTGTATGGATGACACTATGGTGCTGAGACATTTGCAAAAATCCGGACCGCAGATGTCTGCAGTGAAGGTCGAACACGCTATCACCTTTTCCGGAGGCTAATGCGTTCACCACCACACCACGCGAGTTTTTCGTTTTGCCTTTCTCTCAGTCGTGTCTTATTACATTGTATGGATGATAGCTGTAAGCACACAAAACCAGCAGAAGTGCTGAGGTTTAGATAATGATATGAAGACGAGTTATACAAGCGATGACAAGTACACATTAACGTCTATGCAGGCAGTACTCTCAGTGCTTGTATGGCTCTATCTTCAAGTAGGCAATAAAAATGGTGGTGTTCTTCCTTCTAACACTCGCCGTTTATCGACATTACTTCGTAATATTGGCAGACAGCCTTGCAGAAAGTTCAAATCGCGAGATGTAAAATAAATACAAAAAGGCCTTGCAGTACTCTTCACTAATTGCTTAATGACTTCCGAGCTTTGAAGCAGGATAGTAAAACACCATACCTCGTCTAACACAGTTATTTCTCCTGCTTCAATAGGAGATTCATTGTCTTTAATATGAGCCAGTTTGATAGCCGGTAAGCGGACGTTCAACAATGCAGCAGAAACCGCACATATGGCGACGTCTGCAATAGGACCAGCGGAACTCAAAATCTGAAATGAAAAGAATCCCCACTAAAGTTACATTTGCAGATAGAAAAGCTACAAAGCTGGGAAATAAAACATCATGAAGACGTTCTAATTCGCGTCTAGAAAGTCAGTGATTGACTTTTACAGTTAAACAATGAAGTGAAACCGTACAAATATTCATAGATTACTTTCACAGCATATTCAGGAGAATATAGAAAGTGTAGTTTTAGACACCTTTGAATGTCATTTCACAAATTGAATATACCATCCAACATGTCCCCTCTCCCTGTGATCCAAAACGGCGGCGACTGCTTGTTGTGGTGACGACCTGGGGCAGACATTGGTTAGGCTAAACTTGGGATTCCAGGAAATCACAATGGCCAAATCAGCAAAACTCCGAAAAATGGAGATTACACTAGGGCCTACACAACCAGTGAAGACCATCCAAGTATCCAAATAAATCCCTACATGTTAAACCTAGAGAGCTTGAAAATGGAACGTTTGGAGGCCATAAGGAAGCCGATAATAAAGAGGACCTTTCTAATTTCTACGAATCTGAGAGCAAATCTTGACGTTTCGAGATACTACAAATGGTTAAACGCTTACAGAAAATATTGTTCTTTAATTCACCAAAAAGCAACAGCGATCCCGCTTCCTGAAAGTTTGGAGACTGGAGGTGGTGACGTACGCAAGTGGGAAAATAGCGCTCTACCGTTACAGCCTTCGAAAACCATCAAGTAAAGCTGTCAGACGGTCAGTATTCTTAGTTTCTATCTTCTTTCCAGCTCCATATGCAGAATAATGTGGCTCTTAGCTATGATGGCGAGGTAGTACGAGGAATCACGACAGATTTTCATTCCTCATTACATGGAGGGACAACCTACCTAGGCGCTGGTTCGAACTCATACTGCGCCTACAAAGCCTCTTTACCCTTTTCCCCTGGGGAAGTTATTGAATCGCAAACCTCGACCTCTGTACTTTCACTATAATAAAGTGTCTAGATTCACAAACCTGTATGTTCAGTGTTAACTCCCACGTCATAGGTATTGTATCCTCGGTTCCTTTAACTAGTAAAACTGTTGGGAAATCAAATGCTTTGTTTCTGAACACTTCATTGAGCAAAGAGACGACGTCATTAATCTCGCCCTCAAAATATTAAACTAAGCGATGATCAAATAGAGATTAGTTGAAAAGTTATAATACCTGAGAGACTGCTGAACATGCTTTAACTTCAAAATTAAGAAGCGGACCATCATGACAAAGGGCCAAAGAAGCCTGGACGCAACATGAAACAGCAACACCACCATGCCGAATCAACGACGATCCCACTCCGCCCCAGGCACCAAGCTGGCAAAACGTTAGGATAAACGAAAACCACTCTATTATACATAAAGAAAACATTGATGCTGCTATACATAACGAAAATTCCTACCTTGAAAGAAAGTGGGACAAATGACGAGATCGATCGACCATCAGGGTATATTCCTTCTCCAATAAACTGATCATAGTATGCCACCGGGAGGCAATTCTTGAACCAATCCTCTCCCATTATGATTCCCTTGAAGTAATCAATAAAAACATTTCAACTAGAAAAGGGACAAAACTAGAATTAGAGAGACAATATATCAGCTATAACACGAAGTTTTGTAACCAGGCACTTGAGAACATCGAAGAAAAGAACATTGTTCTTAAGATATTTTCTCTCATAAAACAATGGGTGGGATTTTACTATTCAAAAAGTTTAAAAAGCATAACAATATAAAAAACAATGCAAAAAAGCTAACGCTATGATTTCAACTACAGCCTCAGCTTAGGTGCATTCAATGCCGATTTCTGCTCTGGAGAGCCTGATTACCGCCAACCTGTGCGCCTCAGTGGTGCAGTGGGTAACACGTGAGCCCACGGACAGGGTAATCGCGGTTCGATCTGGTGCAGGATGCAAGTTTTGCAAATACCTCGGCATCATTGTGGCTGTATTTCACATAATGTACCCCCTTGAAAAATAATAATAGGTAGTAAATAGAAAATTAGAATCAATACAGTTAGCCAAGTACTCAACCGGTGTTCCATGTACTGAACGGGATCATAAAGTCCGAATCGACCATCGATCAAGGTCCTGCCTAGGCGATTTGCTACCATCTTACGTATACCTGAATACTTAAATGGCCCGTCCTCACTGGTTGTACGGGCCCCAGCATAATCTCCATTTTTCGGAGATTTGCTGACTAAGCCATTGTGGTTCCCTGGAATCCCAAAGACGGCCTGGCCAAAGTCTGTCCCAGGTCTTCACCACCACAGGCAGTCTCAGCCCTTGTGGATCAGAGGGAGATTTGCCACCATGCGACTCTGATACCAGGACTGTGGTGGACCCTCTGGATCTTGGATCCAGCTGCCATCCACCATAAGAAATCACAAATTTGTATATTTGTATAAGTATTGGTTGAGGATTGCTACTTCTAGTGCCCTAGTTATTAATGTTCGTTGATAAGGAATAAAAAATCAAAAAAAATAAATTTATCGGTGGTGGCTTTAAAATTTGAATGATGTAAACTCAGTGAAGACTTTGACTACTTATCCATAATAAGAAAAGTATACTGAAATCATGTGGTGTTTCTATGACAAAGTGGTACGTGTGGCGCAGTGGTCGGAGGCGCCCTCTAGTACACATGGGGTTGATCACCGCGCCCGTGTCGTCCAAGCCCTCCATCACTGCGGAGTCGGCAAATTAGTATGACTTGTTTGGAGGGATAACAGCACTGACTCGATATATCAGTAGGTCACCACGCGTCAGTGGATAATCAAGATGTGCATTCGATTACCTCTGCGATGTTACAAATGGACTCGAATGCATGGCGCATCCCTCAAGGATTGATCGACGCCCGGAGCTTTATCCTTTTTTTGTTCTACTAAGAACTACCTTCCATATAGATCGCATACGATGTAAGATATACAAAACGATATAACCCCAAATGCCGAAACAGAATTCATTAAACTGGGAACTAAAGTACCCAAAACTATAAACCCAAAGCGTGCTCCAGTGTGAATGTACTGAACTAAAAAATCTATAAGATTTGTAATGTTACACATTTTCTCCAACCTACTTGTTCCTCTCCACTAGGTGAAATTTTCATATTAACTTTTTTTTCCTGTTGAGCTGCCTTGTTCGTCAGTACTTTTATGCAGTGTAATATTGTAATCCCAAGGGTGCTGAGGTATGAGCAATGCCCTGAACCTCAGACGGAATTCGAACCCACGTCTACCGTTACCATCGATCACGTGCTATGCACCACACCAACCGAGACCCTTAATTTGCCTTCCTTTGCCCAACATTTTACCGTAGTGGTGTTACCAGTAGTCTCCCATCAGCGGAAATAATCTAGGAAGCACAAATAGGCATCGAATCCAGTTAAACTGAAGCTACGGTCGAAATTACAAAGTTTGCCGAATAAACTATATTTTACTATCATCTGCAATCTAGACACTGCTATCAATATTTGGAAGCGTTTTCCGCTCAAGCTAAGTCTCTTACGGTTTAGTTGAACCTGGCAGGAATCTTGAGATGCCATATCAAGGGTGCTGAGTTACCAGCAAAGCTAAGAACCTCAGGTGGGCTTCGAATCCTCGATCACTCTTTCCGGAGCTTCACTGCTAGCCACTACACCAACCGAGACACGTGTTTTCTTTTGCTGTCAGCTTATTTTTTGCCCTGATGGTGTTATCAGTAATCACCTATCAACGGAAACCGTCTAGGAAGCACAAATGGACATCGAGGCTAGTCAAGCTGAAGCTGCAGTCAAAATCACTAAGTATACTCAATCCACTTAATGTTACTATCATCTGTCATCTAAACACACTGCTATCAGCATTTGGAATGGTTTTCCAGCTTATGTTAATTCTATAATGACTTAGTAGAATCTTGCGGGAATCTTGAGAGGCGATCTAAAGGATGCTAAGATATCAGTAAGACTCAGGATCTCTGGTGGGTTTCGAAGCCACGACTACCCTTACCGGCGATTACGTGCCATCAACGACACCAGTCGAATGCCGTGCTTTTCCTTTCACGAGTCCTATTTTTACCTTAACGGTGTTATCACTAATCAGCCGTTAACGGAAATGGTCTGGTAAGCACAAATTGGCATTGAACCCAGTTAAGTTGGAGCTACAGTCGAAATCACAATGTTTAGCTTTTTCTAAATTTCCTATCATTTGTTTACTCTCTATCCTGAGTATACGTTTTCCTTTTTTCTCTCGTTTTCTTATTCTTCTTTCTCTATTTCTCTGCTTCTTTTATATCTTCCCTAGATCATTTCCGTTGACGGATGAATGCTCACCGTATAAAGCCATGGTGGCAGACAGAAAGGCAAAGCAAGGTCCTCTGTTCTTGTGGTGGATGGCATGTAAGTCGCTGGTGAGAGTAATCACGGGTTTGATGCCCACCTGGAGTTTCAAGTTTTACTCATTTCTCACCATCCTTGTATTTGTATTTCACATATTAACCTACGATGAAGAAAGAATAAGCAGTAGAGGAAAAGCTTACGTGGATACATGGATAGTCCATCTTCACTGGTTGTGCGGGCTCAGCATAATTTCCTTTTTTTCGGAGTTTTGTTGGTTTAGCCATTGTGGTTCTCTGGATTTCCGAGGTGAGCCTAGCCAAAGTCTGCCCTGTGTAGTCACCACCGCCGGCAGTCGCCGCCCTTGTGGATCAGAGGGGGATTTGTCACCATGCGACTTGTTTGGTACCGGCACGGTGACGGATCCTGGAATTGGTTTACTCTTGGGTAGGGTCCCTGATGGAAGCGATGGGCTCCTTCTCAGCTTGGGATACCCTGCCAGGGGGATGAATTCCCTCGTTGTGCATCGCAGCTTGACACCCAGGAACACTTCCCATCCACGATGAAATGTCAAACCGTTCGGAAGAAAGAAGAAGCTATACGTTACAATGTTTTAGTTCGTGAGTGAGAGTACGTTTCAAGTAACTTCGTCACTTTTAAGAATGCGTTCAAGAAGTGGATCTGGTTTGCGATTAGATAGAATTCTGTTCATGGTTGAGCACACCATTTTTAAACAACAGAACGCCATAACTGGATTGTTTGCTAATCAAAAGGAGTTTCCAGGTATGTTTGTCGATTTTACTTATGTTTATGAAAAACAATGCATCAGTACAGGTCAGTGCTGCCTGCTATCCTCCCAGACAAGTCTGATACCAATTTGCAGAACCCGGGGCATGGAAGACTTGGTGAAGGGTTCTGCAAATTGCTATCAGACTTGTATAGGCGGATAGCAGCACTACATTAATATTTTTCCGTCAATGAGTGGACTTTCCTATCTCGTAGGGATCTTTGTATGTGCAAATGGGCAGATTTTATTATTATTGCATCACACAACATCAAAAATATCATAATGTGGCCCATACCAATGCTTGTATTCCATTTGTTAGCGATCATCGATGATGGTCATCAAATATTTTTGCGCCTCTGTTTGGCTGCCGCTCGAGGGTTTTTCTCGTCTTCGAATGTCGCTGAATGCTAGTCGAGTTGATTATCCCTGGAATCAAGAGGTACCCGTACTAGGGCATTGCCGGGTGAATTGAAAGGTGTGAGCTGAACTCAGACAAGTCTGGTACCATATTGCCAAACGCAATTGGAATAACAGGTTTGGTGGGCCCAGTACAGAGTCAAAATAATACCTAAGAAAGGTGTGCCATTCGTATAATGGAACGATGTCACTATCAATGAGCTATCTGTTCCTTTTTGAACAAGTGCTAAATAAAAAAAATGCACCGTACAAATTTTATACTGTCCACTCTTGCGTTAGTGTGAATTTTTTATTTTCTTTTACAACATTGCAAAGTTTTCATGTACCGTAGTAATCGATCGGCAGTTATTGAAAACCCAAAATTTTTGCGGATGTGTTGATTACATAGCCTAACTGTAGACTAAGAGTAGTCTAGATCAGAACATTGAGGCAGCTCTCTAAATTTTGAGAGTGTGGCGTCGCAATCGCGCAGAACCGTTATACTTACGAAGGGATGCTGTGAGAAAGCTTAATTTCTTATACGATCAGCACTAATTCATAGGTTTAGATTTATAAGTCCATTCAGTTGTTCATTACGGCTTTGCAATTTCGTGTATTATTTTCATCGCATAAGCGACGTTTATTATCCAAGGATACTTTAGACCGAGAGGCGCGTATAGCGCAGCGGTTGGTGGTGCCCTGCAATACGTGCGTGGTCTTTGGCTATACCTCAGGGCACGGGCTCAACTAGCCTTCCATCCCTTCTGTGTCGGTGCATTGGTTCTACGCATTTCTGTGAGGATAGCAAAGCTGAACTAATGCATAGGTTAGCTATCGCAAGTCATAGTGAAGGCCAACTATGTATTCAGTAGTTTCTAGCGATGCGTGATCAAGTCGAATGCATGGCGCATTCCTTAGGGATTGATCAACACAGAATGCTTCACGCTTTTTACTTTTGGTCGATTTGCATGCACACCCGGTACATACTGCTAGCACCTGGGAGCTATAATGGGATTTGAACTGCATAACAAAGGTTTTATGGATGATAAGGGATGTCACTTAGCATGAATAGAGTTGAACCTGTTGAAGCTTCGTGTTTTCTTTCCCAAATATAGCGATGAATGAAATTTTTAGTGAAATCACCAGCGTTCGGAGGTTTTCCACATTCAGTTGATTTGTCTCTGTATCCGCCCGGAAAATGATCAACGTTAAGATTTAGATAAATGCCATAGACACATGGCAAGAAGGTCCAACGGCCTGAGCGTTTTTGTAGCAAAACGTTTTAGCTTAGAGCAAAAGGCACACTGTAATCAGCTGATAACGACCAGTTTTTGACCACACATGGTGAAACTACACAGAATATACGGTCAATTCATGAGTCACTGACACCAAACTACTTCGGCTATCAGGTTGCTGAATAAATTTGGAAATTGCTGTCCTTTATCTGATGAGAATCTGACGGCAAGGGTGTAAAGCGTGATCATAACTCAACGGGGTTTTCAGTTTCATACATGCCATGAAAGGATTCATCAGACGTCGTGAAGCTATATGCGTGATACTTTTCATTTTCAAGGTCATGCCTGGGTGCGAGATAACGTCTACGTAATTCATGCTCTTTGGGCTCTTTATCGTGCATACATAAAATGTGCGGAGTTTGATGAGGATCTAAACAAAGCTAACGAATTGGGTCTTACTTGGTAAGGTTGTTTATTATTGTTAGACTATTCCAATTTCCCATATCCATTGTGTTTCTATTCTAGTGTGAAGATGATGCAGTCATTGTTGGAGTGTATGATGCTTCAGGCAGAAAAAGTGGAAATGTTTAAGAAGTACCAGCGACCAGTTGATGCCTTGCACGCCAAGTATTCCGTATCCACAAAAGGCCAAGTATTTGTTTTGCTATCGAATTAATTTCAACTCAAAGAAAAGTCATTTGGATTAAGGCTAGACAACGGGCTTAAAAACCTAGTTTTTCTGCATCGTGTGGTTCTACGACATTCGAGGATGGCTTTGTGTAATCAGTTATTTGCAACGCGTTCCACGTGGAGGATACAAGAAGCACTTGAAGGCCCTCTTTTATGCTTCTCCATCAACCAAGCCCGTTTTATATTCTGGGAATACCGAATATGCTAGGTATGGGTGTATGGAGGGGGTAAGTATCCGTCGAACGCACTGTCGTACTTGTGTAACGCAGTGATAGGGGACGCTTTGCAGTACACATGGGATCGATCCCCGCGCCCGTGGCTCAGCATGCCCTCCATCTCTCGGGGTCGGCAGATTGATACCAAAATTGTCTGGGAGGATAGCAGCACTGACTCTATACATCGATAGGCCATCGCGAGTCATTATGAAGGCTAGATATGTATAAAGTCACCTCCAATGATGCTTGTTGAAGTCGAATGTATGACGTACCCCTCTGGGATTGTTCAACGCCGAGAGCTTCATTATTCATCCCTTATCCCTCGAACAAGAGAATACGTAATGAATGATTCCTCATGGGAGAGAAAACGTTTTAAAGCACCACTTTCTTAGAGCAGATTTTTCTTTTTTTCACTTAGGGGTTGTTTTTGCGACTTTTGAATACATCTCCCTTCGTTAAGTGCTCTAACCCTTTCTTGTTTTTAGTTACAAGTATTCTACAGACGGTGTTTGCATATTCCTTCATTAATAATCTAATAAGTTTGTACATCTTCTTTTCTAGGTTTGCGGAGACACTGAATGGGGTCATCTTCAGATCGATGCTACCTCTCTGTTTCTTCTCACACTCGCTCAAATTACTGCTTCAGGTTTAGTGACTTGTATTTTTATTCTTTTGTCTTGCACACATCCTTTCTTCGCCAAAGCACTGTTCTATGTGTTTTCATTAAATCCCTAAGATAAGGTTATTTGGTGTTTCAGGTCTTCAAGTAGTGCGTAATTTCGATGAAGTTGCGTTTATACAGAACCTTGTATACTATATTGAAACTGGTTATCGTACTCCAGTAGGTTATTATGAGAGTTGTTTTTTTCCGGATTTAGTCGGCGAAGTGTTCTATGTCTATTAATTGCCTCTTTTTGTACTAGGATTTTGGGATTTGGGAACGCGGTGATAAGACAAACCAGGGCATTCGAGAACTTAACGCAAGCTCGATCGGGATGGTGAAAGCGGCACTGCAAGTGAGCTTCGTACATTGGGCAGACTATTTGAGCTAGTCGTGAAAATAAATTGGTGAAGTTGTCCATGTTCTAGATAAGGACTCAGTTTAGGCAATGAACGACGTTGGGGATCTATTTGGAGATGGCTCTAGGAGGTCCGCAATTCATGTTTTACCCGACGAAATTGAACAGTGCTCTGCTGTACTAAGTAGCATGCTACCCAGGGAATCTTTCAGCAAGGTATATTCGTATCATTTGCCTATGTTGTTCCACCGACGATATTGACAACCAAAGTACAAGCGTTATCCGTTTCATTTTCCTGGCTGAATTTCGAGGTTCCTTCGGAACGTTAAGAATTTTCCAGAGTTTTTTCCTCCCACTTATCCTTGGTCAATTTGGTCTCTTTATTCCACTTAATAATCTTCATGTGTTTCTTCTTGTGTCTTTTCTGCTGGGTAATTGTGTCGGAAAACGGACTTTAATTCTTTTTCATAACCGCTTGGAAACTACAGAGAAGAATTTCTTAGAATTCCAGCATAGTATGCTATTAGAGATGAACTGCTTCTGGTGTTTTTTATAGATCTGTACCGATCAATACTTCTTTGAGTAGCTCATTTCCTTAGTTATAATATTATCTGTATGAAATGAGCACCATAACAGCTGTTTAATTTTTACATTCTTGTTTCTTTCTTTTTGTTTTCTTTTGTTTTGTTTTCTTGGACGATTTCATCATCAATGGTGCTGAGATACAACCACAACGTTGCTGAGATATTTGCAAAACTCCGGACCGCAGGTGTATGCGGTGGGGAACGAACGCGCTATTGTCCTTTCCGGGGAGTAGCGCGTTCACCACCACACCACGCGGGTCCTTCGTTTCGCCTGTCTCTCAGCTAGTTCTGTCGGTCTTTTGCCATCAGCAATCACCCGTCAACAGGATTGATCTGTGGGGTCCAAATCGGCAACGAATCCAGTTAAGCTGAGGTCGCAGTTATAATCACAATTTTAACTTAATATTTACTGCTTACTCTTTTTAACGGCAGGGTATTCATTGGCAGGCAGTAAATAAGGCAGTAAATATTAAGTTAAAATTGTGATTTTATCATCCTGTGTTGTCGTTTTTAGTTCTACTTCACGCTCACCTTCTCTTCGCTTTCCTTTTCTCTTTTTCTGCTAATATTTTTTTTATACTCAGATAAACAAACCTCTTCTGATCAGTGGTGTTTTATTAAAGTAGTATAATAGAAATGTATGGGTTTTAGGTGCTCAAGTTACATGTAGTTTTCAGGAGACCGATGCGGCGTTGTTAACAATAATCTCTTATCCCGGATTCGCAGTTGAGGACGCGGAATTGGTGGAGCGCACTAGAGATACAATAACGTCGAAATTACTTGGAAAATATGGATGTCGACGGTTTCTTCGTGATGGCTATAGAACTGCTTTAGAGGTGATTATACTTCCGCTTTCAATCTTTTAGAAACCGTTTTCGAATAAAACTATGCTAGATTTCTTTTATAATTTTATAATTTTTAATTATAATTGGAAATTGTTCCTGTTTTTCGGTGAGTTCTGAATAAGCTCTTGGTGATCGTTTGAATAATTGAGTACTTTTACAACTTTACAGGCTCGTGGGAGAGACTTTGATATGTCACTATAAGCGCATATATAGTTCATAAGATTTCGTTTTGTATTTAAATTTGTTTAGAATTGATGTTTTTTTTATTTTCATCATCTAGATATTTAGATGGCCTGTCCTCACTAGTTGTGCACGCGGCAACATAATTTTCACTTTTTCGGAGTTTTGCTGGTTTAGCCATTGTTGTCTGTAGTCCCAAAGTCAACCAGGCCAGTCTGTCCACGGTCGTCACCACTACGAGCACTTGCCACCTTTGTGGATCAGAGGGAGATTTGCAACCATGCGACTACTTGGATACAAGGACGGTGGTGGATCCTGGTATTGGTTTACTCTTAGCTGGGCTTCCTAATGGAAAAGTCGGACTCCTCAACTCGGAAGGCCTTAACTAAGGGGATGAATCTCCACGCTGTACTCCGTAGCCCCACACCCAGAATGGGATCGATCTTTATGTCCCAGTCTCACGAAGCGTCCCTCCCTTCGGAGTCGACAAATTAGTACCAGACTTGTCTGGGAAGACAGCAGCACTGACTCCATACATCGGCTAGCTACCGCGGAGCATTGAAAAAACCAGATGTGCATCCAGTCACCTCCAACGATACTTAGTGAAGTCGAATATATGGCGCATCCCTCAGGGATTGATCAGCGCCGAGAGCTTTATCCTTCTATAGTTGTGAATGTGTTAAAACACATTTTTTTACTCTGAGCAGAGATGTAAGCTTAGTGTTCTGATTTTTTTTCCAGGATCCATATCGTCTATACTATAACAAATCGGAATTACAACAATTTGAGAATATCGAGTGTGAATGGCCTCTGTTCTTGTGCTTTCTCATGTTAGATGCCATGTATAACAAGAACTTGGAGGAAGCTGAGGACTATTGGCAACGGCTAGAGAGTGTAACTTCTTTTCTAATCCGAACGTTTACTGAGTTCTACATTTTTCTTAATATGCCATTGCTTAAGGTAATCGTTTCGTCGGGAAAAGGATTTCGCCTTATTCCAGAATTATACAAAGTTGAACGTGAACATGTAGCAGGCGAAAAAAGTGAGCGCGGTTCACAACCAAGAGTTTCGGATGGTGCTACGTAAGTTTTAACTACATAACTATTCGTATAGATCTAAAAGTATTGTAGACCCTGAACCACTTCTTCACCATTGTGGTAAGGTAGTGTACTACGCAGGTTTTTGTAAATAAAATAGAACCGGGTAGGATTAGTAAATCCTTAGTTAGTGTAGTGCGGGCCATCTAGTTTATTCGGGTCTTCTCGATATTCAATTGATTTGATTTCTTTGTTTTAATTTCGGTGTTATAAAATGTTTTCGTTATAAAATCGATATGATGTTATCTATTAATCGTCTGATTCACCTGCTTGCACACACGCTGTCAATGGTAACCCTCTTCCTCACCTAACCGTTGACTAAACATCATTGATATCAATTGCCTCAGGTGCTAGTTTTTTTTAGTATTATCGGGTATTGGCAGATAGGTATTCCCGGTATTAGGGGCGGGCAGCACAGTGGTAGTGATGCGGATTATCACGAACACGATGGTGGTTCGATCCCTCCCCAGAGTCAGAAAGCCTCTCATCCCTCTGAGGTCGGGAAATTGGTATGGGACTTCCGTGAAAAATCCACTATCTGCAATCCAATTGGGAACCCTCCAGCCCGGCTATGAGGAATCGAGGGAGAATCGAGTCGACCAGCATTCTGCGACATTCAAAATGAAATGGAAATCCTCAACCAGCAGCCGAAGCCATGCATAAAAGTTGGAAGACTTTCATGTGTGATGGATTTGAGGGTACTACTTAAATGTGAGAAGCGTTGGAATTGGCACAGTAGACGTGAAGTCGAGTCGTGTAAAATAAAATTTAAAAAAAATTATCAGACATTCGCTGTCCGGACCAGTTTTCTTCTACCAGCTAATTTATGGTTATTGCTGTATTTGTTAGAACCATTGTCGTTTATTCTTCAAATTCATATACGAGACACACACGTCATTCCAATTGTAGGCCGTACCTATGGGCACAATCATTATATGTTATATGCTGCTTACTTTATGAGGGATTTCTTACTCCTGCTGAATTGGATCCACTCAGTAGAAGAATGTCTTCTCAAGAAAAACGCCCTCCTTGTGAAGTTCAAGGTGAGTGGGCACAAACAATGTGATGTCCATACTGATTTCCATACTACTAAACTGCAACGTCTGAATATGGTGTAAATAGTTGTCTGGACTTTGTCAGAGTTCAACAGTAGAGTTGATGAGGTGTTACTAAACTCGAGTAACCGCATACATTGCCTCTTGAGGTCGTTGAAGTTAACGAACTGCTTGCAATAAAGAAAACTTTTCATCATGCATCCGAAGATTACCGAGTCTTCCGTATCTCCAGGGTTAGAAGATGTGTACCAGATTTGTCTGAGCGGGTAAAAGCCTTGACTCGATATTATCGATGGGCCACCGAAAGTCACTGATAAGCCCGATATGCATTCAATGTATGAATAAGTCAAATGCATGGCGCATCCCTCAGAGTTTTGATCAACTTCGAAAACATTATCTTTTTTTACCCTATCTTGTACTTTCTTCAAGCTTTTAATCGAAACGCGGGGAAAGAATCCGCGATCGTTTTTATCTTTTGAGAGTCTTTGAGAGAATCCGAAACGGAAATTTTGGAATGACAGCAGCTGGGTTAGAGCTTTTCCATTATTATTTCCTTATAGTGACAGAAATTCGTGATATTTCTATATAATTTCTTTAATGCCGACAGCGAAGCATATTGGCATATATCCCAACAGGATCTCTCCGTATCGGTTCTGTATGAGCCCCTCGAATAGTTTTTTTTTCTGCTAGGACGTTTTCAGCTCGTTACTGAAACTAGTTACCTGCGTTTGCTTATCAGTGGTTGATCACTTTGTTTCTCAGTTTCTAAAATTCACGCGTGGAAATGTCGACCTCATTCTCAGCTGCAGAAACCAATATTTTGAATCGCAGTTCTGGACCTTAAAATCGCTTTACTGTCAGACGCAAGAGTGCTCTATCGTTTGCTGTTCAATGCATTATTCTTTAATGTATATTTAGTTTTTAAAAAATGATCAGGGAGAGTTGTAGACTGTTATATTTTTTGAGGAGTGAGACTATGAATATTTAAAAGATGGCCGGACAGTTGACAATAATCTATACAAACACGAGGTTGTTACTAGTATTTACTCGGCTAACGTTTCAACGTTTTCGTTGACTGTTTACTTCGACACCGATCATGGACTCTGAGGAAGACTAGTGGAAAACATACTTTTTCTCAAATAATACAAATGCTGTTGTGGTGGTACTGTTGCTTCCCTGAGTTTGAACGACATCTCTAATCTTGTAATAGGGTGCCCATATCTCAGTAACGCATATCAAACGGATATTTTGTCCTAACAATAGAAAGCTTATTATTCCTTTTGATGTAGTGACAATATTGGCCCAAACCAAGGAAGTACAACGTGAATTACTTGCAAATGGTATTACCGTACAGTGTGTGGACGAAATTGATCCAGTGTTTACAATTTTACCGGCATCTTCTCTTGCCGAAATTCATGCGAGGTTCGTTTTAACTGTAATTTACATTCATTTCTTCCAGTTTAACTAGTACTGTAACTTCTGGGGATTTCTGTTCTTCAAACTTGTGTGTTGATAATGTAGGATTGGACAGTCGAAAAAGCTGAATCTCAGCGGGAGGCCATTAGATCGCGACGTAGGTTTGCTGAGCACCAGTCGGCTCTACCAAATCGGGAATAAATTTGTAATTTTCACTCCACAGGTGGGCCATATTGCATGTTTCTTCTCTATTTTCGGTTATGTACCATTGCTTTTCCAGTTCATGGATAGTCGTCGATCCCATTTGATGTATGATATTCGTATTTTAATGGATGAATGGAGCTCTGAGCTACAGTACATATACACATCTTGGAACTCAGTTAGCATCAGTGGAAGACCTTTGGTTGTCCTGATCGTAACCAGTGATATGCTAACAACGGTATTACCACTTAAACTTCCTTAAAGCTCTAAAAAGCTCTCGGCGTTGATCAATCCCTGAGGGATGTGCCGTACATTCGACTTCATTAAGTATCGTTAGAGGTCATTAAATGCATATCTGGCCTTTACAATGACTCGCTATGGCCTACCGATGTATCGAGTTAGTGCTGCTATATCCCCAGAGAAGTCTGGTAGCAATTTGCCGACTGCGGAGAAGTGGAGGGCTTGGTGGGCCATGGGTGCGATGATCGATTCCACCTGTGTGTCGCAGTTGCACCTCCAACCACTGCGCCACAACGCGCTCTTTAAAGCCCTTATGATGTGTAATTTATAATATATGAGCACGGTTGGGAGAGGACCAAATATGTTGTTTTCCAAAACCATCAAGTATGTTTACAACCTTTTTTCCTTGGATGTGAACGATTATTGTTACCTTTTTCAGAATGGCTTATCGGATTTTTCCAATATCTCCCTGAATCGCTTTATGAAGTCGACAGTTCTAGGCACAATCAAAAAAATAAACACAGGCTATCTTGGCGGAGCCAGGTATAGAGCAGTTACAATAGCTGTTTTTCCCATGGTTTCATACGGAGACTCTACTGGTTATGTTATTTGTTGTTTAGAGTCGTAATGAGAAATCTGTCTGACTTCTTCCGTACAACACCAGTGAGCAAACTTGAATTCAATGACAGTGCATGGGAATTTCCTTCTGGGGAACTTGAAGCAAAGAACCAGTTCTCACTGCTCAGTGATGCTGGAAATTACGAAAAAAATGGTAGGGGATTTGTTTTATCCAAAGTACTTGTTGCTTGTTTGTGGATAAAACTTTGGTTTATCATGATCTGTATGGATTTTAGGATTTTCTGTAGCGCGAAGAACCATCCCAATACGACGCGGGGATTCAATCAAAGGTCGTAGTTCGTACAACCTCGTACATAAGGTATCCATGCAGCTTCGATCAATCGGGCTTGGCAGCAATGATAATGGTGATTTTTCCTCGACTGTTCAACAATTTCATCTTAGAGTTTTGTCGTTTATGGCTTTATTGCTTTATACATGTCGTAGGATGAAGCGTTGCAGTTTTCTGGTTAAAGAATGAGATTCACGGTGGTATAATGGAATGTGTAATGAAAGTCAAAGCTTCTTTGTAGAATAAGAAGTTTTAAATGCAACTTAACCGCTGGTTCTTAAAGATCTGGCTCGTCTACGACTGGCATACAAATCCAATATAATTGATCCCACGAGGACCTCTCGAAGTAAGTCTTTCAAGTACAACAAAATAGGTTTTTCTCTTTTTTGTCTGAGAAAGTTGAAGAAGTTGGACAACGTTGATGTAGTTGGAACCATATTCTGGACACATTTTTGAATGTAATAATATCCTGATTTATAAATCCAGGACTTATGGCATAATATTGATGTTAATGGGATGATAAAGCTCTCGACTTTAATCAGTCCCTGAAGGATGTTCCATGCATTCGACTTTATTAAGCATCTTTAGAGGCGATTGAATGCATATCTGACCTATAAGTTGAATCTGGTGGCCTACCGATGTATCGAGCCACTTCTACTATCCTCTCAGACAAGGCTGGTACCAATTTGCCAACCCAGAAGGATCCAAGGCTTGATGAGCCTTAGACATGGGTTCGAACCAATGTGTATTGCAGCGCATGTTAATTCATCAGCCACTGCGCCACACGCACCTGCCAATATTGATATTGCCAAGGAATTTCGGGACAAACTCCTGTTGTACATACACTTATTGGTCTAACGGATGAAATTTCTCTGGACTTACTGTATATTTAACAGTTAACGATTGTGAGCATTATTTTTAAAGCAAGCGCAACAAAATAGTTCTTTTCAACTTTAATCCAACGAATTTTGGGCTTTCAGTGAACTTTGAAATGAAACACAAGCACTTATTCATGTACAAGTGTTTGTGGATAGGGAAAAAGTCTTTTTTTACGGTTACAAAATCGTACGTTCGTAGAGCCACCTCGTAAACATGTCCTTTTTGCTGTATTTCGTCGAAGCTAGCATTTCGAACATGAAAGCAATCTAACAAGCGAATTTCTTCCAGCATAACTCGATAGTGAACACAGTGTATCGTTGGAGTTGTCGCGCTAGCACTGAGATTTTAAAAAATTTAGACATTTTTTCCCCAATTTCCTTGTGTATTTTAAATATAACATTTTAAGCGGGAAAAATCTTTCATTTAATTTCTACGTACCGCCAGTGATAGAACAAAGCCTTTTCAGTTGTTCTTTTTTTTTCTTCCTTGACCAATGTGATTGCCGAAAATTATTGTCAAAACACTATAGGGTGTTTTTGTGTTAAGCGCCGGAAACCTATCGTATCACTTATTCATTGCATTGCACCGACTGTATTATTATTATTATTATCTATACGAGAGAGAATTTCACTAAACTCATCTCAGGACTCCAGAGAACCACAGTGGCTGAACCAGCAAGACTCCAAAAAGTGGAGATTATGCTGTGGCTCGTACAACCAGTGAGGACGGGCCGTCCAACTTTCCTAGTGTTATCTGTACGCAAGAGGTTTCAACAATCCAATTATTTTTAGATGCTACTATATTTGTTTGGAGTGAGGTCGCAAAACTCAAAAGGTGGCAACTGACTGGAAATGCCATGGCACGGTTATCCCACGATTCAAGGGGGAATCGGTTCGATCAGCAACATTCATTGGAAACATCGAAAGTTTCCAAGCAGTATCCAAAACCGCATGAAAAAAATTCCAGGACTTTCTGTGAATATGAGCGCTATGAAAGAAATCAAATGCGAGAAGTGCTGAGATTCTCACAGTATGTGGTGTCAGGTCATGTTTAAAATACTTGTAGAAAATCTATGGTATAGAAGGTGAATTCAAAAGGAATTGGTCAACATGATGAGAAAGGTGAGGGAATTAGAGGTCCAAAGATGAGGAGTGGGTCGACAGAACGATGAGAACGTGGTTTTTCAAATATCTTTTCCAAAGTGTTTCCTCTTTTTTTTCTTTTTGTTCTCTAAAATGTTCATTGTCTTTTAGGGATGTAGTTTTCCAACATGGTTTATCAAAACGGTCTCTTTAACTTGATTAAGACGAAAATCCTCCTTATTCCTCTTGTTTGTGAGAATTACATGGTCTGCTTTAGGTTCGAGTCCAGCTGCCGGGTCAACACCTGAGAACAACACCAGCCATTTGCGGAGCATGTTGAAAACTAACGCTATCAATACCGATCTTGATTCGGTGTGAGTTCGAGTTTGACATTGAGAAGTAGTTGTTCAGTTAATGTTTACTTAATTTGAACGGCTTTGAAGACTTAAAGTAGGATGGGACCTCATAGAATAAATGAAGAATTTTTTTAACGGAGGTCAGCCTCACCATTCACATCAGTAAGAGGTGTTTCTAGGAAGAAGGACCTCAGCCACAAGCAGTTGAATGCAATGAAAGTTGACGACTTAGTAGACATGTTGTTAGAAACAAGTGTACTCGAAGAACAGGCGTCTATTGTCCATTATCTATGGATAAACTAGTAAGTCTAGAAAATTTAGAAAGTGTCTGCGTTTTTTGAGTAGTTCCGAACAATGACTTTCTACTAACCTCGGCACAAAATCATTTGCTTTTTCTTGGTAAGCACGAACAGAGTTGTTACTGTACTGTTTATTTTTCTACAAAGGCTGATATTTCGGCGATTTCATCTTCTTCATAGCCCTGAAAAGTAAAGTTAACTTTAACCTAGTCAGCCAAACACTTCCATAACCTTAACAGAAACATCGTGATACCTAGATTTTAAATGCATTGGAAACAAAACAGCAAAACATATAGTGAAGTATTTTGTTTAATGCAACCGTAGTGATGATGAGATATTTACTCAACTTGGACCCGAGCTCAGATCGAACCACGATTACACTTTAAGAATACTCGCATGTTACGCACTGCACGACAGACGAGGTTTTTCCTTTATTTCGCCTAGATTTCTTCATAACGGGACCGTTCCGAAATAATCTCCTGGCAGAGTAGTCGTGGATTGGTCTGGCCTGGGTTCCCAGTTTTGCAAATATCTCAAAATCTTTTGCGAAATATAACTTATGTAAGTTATATTTCGCAACATACCCTGCCATTGAAAAAGAATAGCAGTAAATAAAAAGATTGAGATTGTGATTGTATCTCAAGATCATTGTGGTTCCCTTCACCGGGAAAGGATTATGTGAAATACAACCACATTGTGTTGCGCATAAACGGTCATACAAACGCTGCGAGCTAGCCGGTGTCCTAGGATGATGACAGAGATTGTTTCTGGATAAACAAGTTGTACAGTAGCATCCTCGTCTGTGCTTATCAAGAAAACAACGAATTATCTATGTTCTAGTCTCGTAAGTTATTTGTGTTAAAATTGATGGAAATCGTTAGGGTTTTCCTGTCCATCATTTCCTACCCTTTCCCTATTTGTTCACCTCACATTTTACATCAATAAAACGATGATCAGTAGTATTGTTTCGGCTGTGTTTTGGCTCTTCATAGAATCAACGTCGCAGAATTTGACATAGTAGTTCTTTTTGTCTTAACTTCTGTTTACTGTCTATTCTTCGATGGCCGGGATAGGAGATGTCAAATGTAACCAAGAGAGTGCTGAAACATGAGCAAAACTCAGGGCTTCTACTAGACTTTGAAACCTCGATCACTCTTATCAGGAGCTCACGTGTTATCCAACACATCAACTGCAGCCCTTGCTTTGCCTAACTGGGTTCACTGCTTTCAGTGCCGATTTGTGCTGCCCAGATGATTCTTGTTGACGGGTGATTGCTGATTGCACCGGTACAGTAAAAATCTGTCTGAGAGAAAGGCAAAGTGAGTAATTTGGTTGGTGTGGTGGATAGCATTTGATCGCTCGGAAAGGATTGTCATGCCGTCAAAACCCACCTGAGGTTTCGAGTTTTGCTCATATCTCACACCATCTTAGTGGTTGTATTTAACATCGTAACCTACATGAAAGAAGAATAGGTAGTAAACAGCGGTTAGAACATACTCTTGACACTGTTGTTGGATGATTTGTGCACACGAAAACTTTGGAGACCAAAGGAGTTGTTTTGTTGATGAAATGTTGTTTTAGTGGACCTGACCACGATGTATCTGTTAACGGTCAGAATGTTACGGTACGAACATTAATGGAAGAGGTCTATACAAAGGTAGTTTTCAGTTATTGTAATCTACAGAGATGATTGTCAGCAATACTTAGGTTTTCCGTTGCTAACTGTGATCAGCACTGTCTACTCTGTTTAAATTTTACCATTTTGAAGTCATGCGAGTTTCGCCTCTGGGCGTTGATTCGTCTCGCAGCAGGACTACTTCGTAAGAATCTCGATGAGTTAGGGAAAGCTGTAACACATCTCCTCGTTCGACAGAAGCAAATAACTGTTCGTATTTTACCTACTTTTTTGAATTTCTAATATTATTTCTAGATATAAGTAATAATGTGATAAATATGATCACACTGCTTATGACGAGTGATAAAGTAGTTTTTTCTTCTTTAAATGTGTCTTCAATCGGAATTCAAAATTTCGTTAACAACAAGAGCTGATTTGCTTAGATGATTAACAATATTCAATTTCCCAATTTTTTGTCCGACGTTCATAGCTGGCTTTTTAAAGCCTGTGTAACAATCGTTTTGTTCTACTATCCTGGATAGTATAGATGCGGAACTCGTAATTTCTGTGCGTATCAGCTTTCTAGGTTGGTATGCCATCAAAAAAAGAAGAAGCAATCACATCTCCGAAAACAAACGAAGAGCTTAAGGCAATCATGCATCGTGCCTATTCGAATGATCCTAACGCATTCACGTTAAGTCAGGTATGGAGTGGTATACCTAAACTGTACGAATTTGTTCTCTTCTGAAGAAAACGGTTTGTTTAAAGGAAATCATCATTTCGCTGGGATCACTTGTACGGACAGAACCAAAGCTATTTGTTGAGATGTTCCGGTTGAGGATTGGCCTAATTATACAGGTTTCAGCTCTTAGCAAGATTTGTATGGCAAGTATTTCAATTCATGCAACCAGGTATTTATTTAGGTATTGGCATCCGAGTTAGTTCGCATTAGGAATCTATCGGCTGCAGATGCTGCTGAAAATTTGATGACGATCAGTCCATTTGAACTTAAATCGATGCTTTTTTCGTTATTAAGTGGACGACTTCTTGAAGAGTTGGTTCCAAGTTTTTTTCTTCATAGATTTAACCTTTTAGGGAGTGTGTTTCCTTGTTATTCAGATATGTGTATGATGGTGATGCGCCGAAGGAGACGCGTACAGGAATAGGAAGTTTTAGGCGACATATCGAAGAACGAAAGGTAACATTTTTCTTCCACAAGTGCTTGTTAAGGCAACATTTATTCATCGATAATGATGCTGAGTTATTGGCAAAACTCCGGAGCGCTGGTGTCTGCGGTGGGGAGTGAATTCGCTATTACCCTTCCTAGAGGTTCTTGAGGTAATAGCGTTCGTTCCCCAGCGCAGACATTTGCGGTTTGGAGTTTTGCAAGTATCTCACCATCTCGTAATGGTTATATTTCATATAATATTGTGCCGTAAAAATTGTAGTAGGCAGCAAATAAAAGGCTAACATTTTGATTTCAACTATAGCCTCGGCTTAATTGAGTCCAATATCGATTTGCGTTGCCCAGATCAATCCCGTTGGATGATTGCTGATGGCTAGTAGATAGAAAACTAACTGAGAGATAGGAGAAGCGAAAGACCCGCATGGTGCTGGTGAACGCCTTAGCTCCGGAAAGGATAATAGTGCGTTCCTTCCCCACCACCGTCACCTGCGGTCGGGAGTACTGCAAATATCTCAGCATCATCATGGTTGTATTTCATATGATATGCTGCAGCGAGAATTGTAGTAGGCAGCAAATAAGAGGTTAGCGTTTGTTTGTTTTTAGTCTATGCGCAAATCAATGCGAAAGATTGATGGTGACGGACGCACAGATTCCCCTACTCCTGCTTCTGATGCGGATGACGAAGAACTCAGTGAAGACGACTTTCAATTCGGCATATGGTTACGACATCGTCGTATCGATGGTGCCTTAAATAGAGTACCGAATAATTTTTATGCGGTAATGAAAAAGCTACTATTTATTCAAAAATTTTTCGTTAAAAGTCGGTTTTCGTGTAAGTGGTGGTATTTAGAAACTTTTGCTTTTTGATTTTTACTTGTAATCATTTATCTTTCTTCAGACATTGTGGGATACGGTCAATCGTCTACCACAAGGAATTCGAATCAATGACACAATTTTGCACTGGGGATTAACACAAGAAATGACTCGACGCGAAATGAAATTTGCGTTAGAGGTTGAGCAGGTGTTGAATAAGATCGCGGAGCCGGAATATAGAGAAATGGCAAGAAATCTATTCAGTATATCATCAAAGAGGTTTTAGCTTTTGAACAATATGTGAAAAGGTCCAAAGAACTCCAATTATTACTACTTGTGATTTAGGCATATCACCTTAACAAAACGTGACCTTCTTTCTTGTACAGTCTAGCTCCATTGACCTTTCTGCCCTTCTCGTTGCGAAACAATTAGAAGTTAAATTCTTAGTTTAGTGTATTATTACCCTTTACGTTGTTTTACCATAGCCAGTGCACTTATTTGGATATTTGGATACTTAGATGGCCTGACTTCACTGGTTCTACGGGCCCTAGCATATTTTCCATTTTATCGGAGTTTTCCTGGTTTAACCATTATGGTTCTCTGGATTCCTGAGGTCTGCTTAGCCAAACTCTGTCCCAGGTCCTCACACCACGGGCAGTCACCGCTCTTGTGGATCACGGTGAGATTTGTCACCATGGGACTAGTTTGATAGTAGGACGGTGGTGGCTCCTGGTATTGGTTTACTTTTAACTAGGCGTCCTGATGGAAATGCCAGATCCGTTGTCAGCTTGGAAGACTTTGTTGGGGATGAATCTTCCCGCCGTGAGTCAGCCCGACACCCACGAACACCTCCCAGCCACGATGAGGCAGTAAACCGTTGGGAGGAGCCACTTAGGTACATAAACTGAACACCGTTGAAGTATTTCACTTCTGACAGTTGCAAAATCAGTAATGAACCAAGTAAAAAAGGATGAAAAGCTGAACGATAAAGCTCTCGGCGTTGATCAATCCCTGAGGGAAGCGCCATGCATTCGACTTCATTAAGCATCGTTTAGAGGTGATTAAATGCACATCTGACTTTTACAATGACTTGCGGTGACCTACCAATGTATCGAGCCAGTGCTGCTACCCTCTCAGACAAATCTGGTACCAATTTGCCGACCTCGGAAGAAGGGACACGCGCCCATGATTCGAATAAATGCGCAGGATAATTCTCACCAGTTCCATCAATTTCACTGTTTGATTTTTTTTTGTTGATGTTTTAGCATGATACGCAAAAATTTTAGGTGGTTGAAGCGTTGTGGTTACTTGGAAGATTGGATCGCGTGGTTCAGTGTGATGAACCCAAAATACCAACTGATCGTCCTCTGGACATTGACTTTGTACTTAGAAAGGCGAATGACATATTTGTTCAGCACAACGTATGTTTTGATAAGATTGTTTTTCAAATGTATTTGTGAAATTTTGGAAGTCTTCATGTGTAAATGAAGTGGATGTAGGGAATTAGAGTAACTACTTTGTTTTATGAATTACGAAAAATGACCAAAGTCCCATTAATCTTATTTCACTAACCATCCCGTACTCACTCAGTAATTTAACCAGGAACCAGTAAATTATTGATTCGTCGTTATGACGATCCAGATCTCATCAGTGGCCTACGCTTGTTAAGGGAAGTAACAATCATCTCAATTTGTATGCGATGTTCATTATTTTCACTGCTGTTAGCAGAGAGGTTGAACTAATCAGGCTTCTCCATAGTATAGGATAGACTTCTGGATAGACTGGATAGACTTCCTATAGGAAGAAATAAACTCTTGGGCTTGGGTTGAATCCGCTTCGTTGAGTCAGGAAAATCATTCGAGTTGTAAGGAGCATGTTTTGTGATTGAGAAATGAAAATTTCTGCCTTGACAATGTTTCATCTTGAGTGGCGTAAAGGATAAATAATAAAGCTCTAGGTTTTGATCAATCTCCACAGGATACTCCATACATTCAATTTCATTAAGAATTGTTGGAGGTGATTGAATGCATATCTGGTCTTTGCAATGACCCGTGGTGGCCTACCGATGTATCGAGCCAGTGCTGCTATCCTCCCAGACAAGTCTGGTACCAATTTTTCGACCCCAAGGGGATAAATGACTTAGCGAACCTAAGACACGGTGGTCGATCCCATGTGTATTGCAGGGCGCCCCCGACCATTGCGCCACATGCGCCCTTCAGAGTAGCGTAGCACATTGTTATTGTAGTTCATATACTATCATAGCTTTGTTTTTAATGGTTCCACTATTTCTATGGCTGCTTGCAAACTAATGTTTGTCCGAGTGTATAGGATCTTTTCAGCGCGAAATGGGTACTATCGTACTTGAGTGCTGCGGTTCTGGAAATATATGCGATGGAGCTCGTGGTATCTGTCGCCATCTCTACGATTCCGCTCCGGCTGGAGAATACGGCACTAGCCACTATTTCATCAAAGCGATGATTGAAATGTTCACATGATTTGTATGTTAGGAATCCAAAGCACCCATTGATCTCGTGATTAGTGTTGGTTCATGTCCCTTTGTAGTAGATGTAGCGCATTGTATGCAGATCATCTTTTGAAAATGGTTAGGTAGAACCAGGATATGATGGATTTTCGCACTTGTTTCTGTCAATAGACACATTAGGAAACGAAACAGTACGAAAGTTTGTAAAGATTTTGTACAGTTCTATCATATTCAGGGGTTATTTTCGCAGTACCCATTTATTCTTCAGTCGCTAATTAGTTCTAGGTAGAGGACTTAGTCAATATTTTCAGTTCAAATGGTCATTGTGATGTCAAAGGTAATTCGATAGGTTGAATCTAAAGGACCATCTTGTTGATGTTGTTAGCTTAGCGAATATGCACTTCATTAATGTTGCAAATGCTAACAGTTCCCGTTTAACTTTTGTAGAAATAGTGTGCCTAAAGATTTGTCAACTTTTTCGGTCATGCTTTAAACCTATATTATGTCCTCAATTCCACGTCCTTCTGCGGAACCCTCATAGGCGGAATAAGTCTGGTATGGTGGGACGGCTCGATTATATAGGAATACCAAGTAGTTATGATTCGGTCGGAATTTGCTGCTCGCCTTTGTGTA